CCAGGTCAGCCACGTGCCAGGCTAGTGTCCTCCCCACTGTCTACCCCGCTGGCCCCTAGAATATGGATTTTCTGGGTTTTTGGTTGGGAATGAACGCATGGAGGGAAATACATAATGGGGGTTTATTTTACCAAAAAAAAATAATAAGTTTCACATCTTAATGTTTCTGTGAGTTTTTTTTCTATTTTATGTATCTATCATTAACATATAATAACATGCCATTGCTTTTGTTTTTTTTTAATTATCGCTTGTTTTTGGGTCCACTTGGCTGTACTCGGTGTTCACTCCAAGCAGTGCTCCGGGGACTCCCAGGGGATGCCAGGGATCGAACCCCGGTCGGCCTTGTGCCAGGCCAACACCCTCCCGGCTTGTACTATCACTCAGGCCCTAGGTGTGAGTGTCAATCAAATCTGATCTGATTCAGTTCCTGATGCATTTGCTGTTAGTGGCCCCAGGACCCTGGGCCCTGCGTCCACGCCCTAACTCTGCGACTCCCAGAGTCGGGGTCCCCGCCCCCCCGAGGGCCCCCTAGGCCAGTTGGGAGCACGGAGAGCTGTTGAGTCTGTCTTGGGCTGCCAGAGAACAGAGCCCCGAGCTTGCACCCGGATGAGCCCAGACATGCCGGGCACCCACATCCAGAAGGCACAGGGCGGGTTTCTCCCCCCAGAAGCTTCCAGGACCTGGGGTGGGGGTGGGGGTGGGGGCTGGAGGGCTCAGGCCAGGAGTTTGCTCCCCGGACGGTTTTGAATTCCTTTAGGTTTGGGGGCAGGGGGAGGGGTTTTGGCTGAGTTTTTTTCCTGCCTCATTGTTCAGCCCGGAGCTGGGGCCTTGAAACTCAGAGGAAAGAAAGAAAACTCTTCCTTTGTTTCCCCTCAACGCCCGTTTCCCCTGCCCCCTGCCCGTCAGGGAGTCCTGGTTTGGCTGCAGAGTGTGTGTGGGGGGAAGGTGGATGACTTGTGAAAGAAAGGGGAGCCCCTGCGCCCCCCCAACCCGCGTCACACCTTGCCCCAACTTCCTGTGTGTGAAGCTCTGACCCTCAGGGGCCGTTTGTGCTAACTCAGACCCCCACCCCCAGCGAGTCTCCCCGAGTTCTCGTCTTTGGGGTGCGAGTGAGAGCGATTCCCCCACCCCCCCAGGAAATCCTGCACCCAGGACCCTCCCTCTCTTTGCACCCATTGCTGCAAGGCCCTGAATAACCCACCCCAGGGGGCTTTCTCGGGGCATTCGGGATAGGGGTTGGGGGTGGGGGTGGCCACAGATCTGCCTTCACTCCGGGACCCCCGAAATCCGGCCAGGGGTGTCTGAGCCCCCGGTGGCCGCCGTCGGGCACCGGCTACTCCCCTGACCTCTGCTATCTGGTCTCACGGTGCCTTTAGTCACTGTATGGTCACCCCCAACACACACACACACATTCACAAACACACACACTTACACACACTCACACACTCACAACACACTCACATTCACACACACACTCACATCCACACACACATACATTTACAAACACGCAGACTCACACACAACACACACATTCACACACACATACACACACTCAAACACACACTCACACACATTCACAACACACAGACACACACATTCACAAACACACACTCACACACATTCACAACACAAAGACACACGCATTCACAAACACACACACTCACAACACACATATATACACACTAATACACACACTCACACATATTCACACACATTCACTCACAAACTCACCAACCCACACAAGTCACACGTGCTCACACTCACACACACACACTCACACACATTCACACACTCATTCACTCACACAAACTCACATGCTCACACATTCACACATGCTCACACTCACACACATTCACACACACACACACTCATTCACCCATTCAAACTCACACATCCACACATTCACACACTCATTCACACACATAACACACACTCACATTCACACAGCCATACCCACACCCATTCACACACGCTCACACACCCACACTCACACACACACACTCACTCAAACATTCACACACACTCATGCACACACACACACGCGCGCACGCGCGCGACCGTCTGTGTTCCTGCCCTGGTGTATCCCCGAGTGTCCCATGTCCTGTGGCCCGTGGGCCTGATGGGTCTGCAGGACCCAGAATCGAGTGCCCAGCACCTCAAAGGGCCCAGCAGGAACCCGCTGGACTTTAATCCGCGCGATGTCCCAGGGATGGGGGGGTGTCGCGACACTGGTATCTCCCCACCTGTCACCTCCAGTCCCCGCAAAGCAGGAATTGCACTGGGTACCGTGACTGGGAGTCCCCCGGGCACCCCCGTCCACCCCCAATCCCTGCCCCAGCTCCAGGGAGGCCAGGCCCAGCGCCAGGGCCCCTTCCTGCCCTGGGCTCCTGCTCCCACCTGTCTCCTTCCTCCTCAACTTCCAATCACGACTCCAGGAGCTTGTTCACCTCCCAAACAGTGCTCAGGGGGGCAGTGTCCTCCACATCAGCCCCCCCAGGCTCCCCAGGGTGTAGAAAGTCTTGGGGGTGCTGATATTATTATTTGTGTGTTTTAGTACCTTGTTTCCTCCTGCTGACAAGGGGTTCCAGGCCTCTAGCGGTTTTTTTTTTGAGGGGGTCACACTTGGTGATGCTCAGGGGTCACTTCTAGCTCTGCACTCAGGGGTCACTCCTGGCGGTGCTCAGGGGACCCTAGAGGATGCCGGGGATCAAACTCATGTACGAGGTAAGTGCCCTCCTGGGGCCCTGAGTCTTTTTTTTTGGGGGGGGTCACACCCAGCAATGCACAGAGGTTACTCCTGGCTCTGCACTCAGGAATTACTCCTGGAGGTGCTCAGGGGACCAGATGGGATGCTGGGAATCGAACCCGGGTTGGCCGTGTGCCAGGCAAACACCCTACCCGCTGTGCTATCGCTCCAGCCCGAGTCTTTTTTAAAAATTTATTTTTCTTTTTGGGTCACACCCGATGATGCAAAAGGGTTATTCCTGGCACATGTACTCAGGAATTACTCCTGGCAGTATGCGGGGGACTCTGTGGGATGCCGGGGATCGAGCCCGGGTTGGCCGAGTGCCGGGCAAACGCCCTCCCTGCTGTACTACTGATCGGGACGTGATAATCAAAAAAAAAATTGTTTTGGTTTGGGCCACACCCTGTGATGCTCAGGGCTGACTCCTGGCTCCTGCATTCAGGAATCACTCCTGGCGGTGCTCGGGGGACCCTAGGGAATGCCGGGGATCGAACCCGGGTCAGCCGCGTGCCAGGTCGATGCCCTCCCCGCTGTGCTATCGCTCCAGGCCCCCCAGAGCCTTGCTGAACCCACACACTAGCCAACGCACCCGCTTGCCTTTTGCTTCTGGGGCTAGTTACCAGAATGGAACCACAGAGCCCCAAGTGGAGTGCGGTTCATTGCCCAGAGGAAGAAGGAAAACTGTACAGTGACCGTGGACAGCCCGCCTGACCTTGGGGAGTCTGTCATTTGAGAGTCAGGCCAGAAGCAGCGGTGATGTCACGGTGAGCCACTGAGATAAGGGAGAGGGGGTTGGCTCCGGGCTGCCAGCCAGGTTATCAGCCACCAACGTCCCCACCGCCCAGGCTGAGCTGAGCCAGCCCGGGAGCCGCTGGGTTTGGACCCAAATACCTTCTGGGTGGGACTGGACAACGGGCTGGGTCTGAGCTCCCCACGGGGAAGTTGGGGTTCCAGCCTCTGCCTTTCTGGGTCTCCCAGCACCTCCAAAAGGGACAGTCTTCACGCTCCAGCCCTGAGCCCCTGCCCCAGCATCACCACCAGTGAAATAAAATCCCTCTGGGGAACCCTTTGCAACCACAAGCGGGGGGTGGGGTCCCCCAATTTGTCCCTCCCTCCAGGGAAAATGCCAAAGACAAATGATCTGGGGGGGGTCGGGACATCAGGACACACAACCTTGGATACTTTATAGCTTGTAGCCAAAATAAACGTGCAATTACTCCAGGGTCTGGGGGAGAGAGCTCTGCGCCCCCCACCCCTCCTGGGAGGTCGCCAAGGCCTTGTGCACCGCTCCTCCGCGCCCAAAGTGAGCAGGACCTGCACACGGCCAACCCAGGTTCGATCCCTGGCATCCCCTAGGGTCCCTGGAGCACTGCCAGGAGTGATTCTTGAGTCAGGAGTCAGCCCTGAGCATCACCAGGTGTGACCCAAAAAGCGAAAAAAATAAGAAAAGGGAAAAAAAAAGGAAGGCTGGAGCACAGGGGGGAGGGCGTTGGCCTTGCATGCAGCTGACCCGGGTCCGACTCCCAGCATCCCCTAGGGTCCCCCCAAGCACCGCCAGGAGTGATTCCTGAGTCAGGAGTCAGCCCTGAGCATCGCTGGGTGTGACCCCATCCCCCAAAAAACCCCCTCAACCCCCCCCCACAAAACCAGGGTGCAGAGCAATGGTACAGCGGGGAGGGCATTGACCTTGCACACAGCTGAACCGGGTTCGATCCCCAGCATCCCCTAGGGTCCCGGAGCACCGCCAGGAGTGATTCCTGAGTGCAGAGCCGGGAGTCAGGTCTGAGCATCTTCGGGTGGGATCCAAAAAGCAAAATAAAAAGAACTCAAAAAAATCAGTGTCCAGAGCAATGGTACAGTGGGGAGGGCGTCTGCCTTGCACACAGCTGAGCTCAGCCCTGAGCATCGCCGGGTGGGACCCAAAAAGCAAAAAAAATAACAAAAAATAAAAAAAACCCAAAACAAACAAACAAACAAAAAACGCAGTAGAGGGAGGGGTAAGGCGGGTGCAAAGGCTCCCAGCCAGGCCCCGCCTTCGCCCCGCCCCCAGATCGCGTGACGCGCACAGACCCCGCCCTCCAGGGGCGTGGCCGCCGCGCTCACGTGAGCCGGGGTGCGGAAGTGCGGCGGCGTCGGCGGCGGGCGCCGCTGATTGGCCGCGCGGGCGGCGGCGGGCGCCGCCGATTGGCCGCGCGCGCGGCGTGGGCGGGGCCGGGGCTGCGGGGCCGCTGGGCGCTGGAGCGGCGGCCGTGCGGGGGCTCCTGGGCGTGCGCGCGCCCGCCCGCTGCTCCGGGGACCCCCGGCCCAGGCAGGCGGCGGCGGCGGGGTGGCCGGCCGGGACGCCATGTCCATGGAGGACCCCTTCTTCGTGGTGAAGGGGTGAGTGCGGCCCGTCCAGCCCGGGGTGGTGGTGGGGGCGGGGGGACGGACCCGCGGAGATCGGGGGTCCCCGCCGCGCTGCAGCTTCCGGCGGTGCCAGGGGGGCCCCGGGCCCGGCCGGAAAAGGGAAGTGGCCCTCCCGGGCTCTGCAGGGGCCGGCGGGGCCGCGTCCTTTGTCCGCCGGGCCAGGGTCCGAGCGCGCCTGCTGCAGCGCGCTTGCATCTGCCCACCCGGACCCCCTCCTGCACCCCTGCACCCCGTCTCCCGGCCCGGGCTCGGGTGCCCCCCTGGCGGCGGCGGGGCCGGCTCCACCTTTGCGGCCCAGGTGGGTGGCGCTTGGCCTGGCACCTTGCACCGCGCAGCCGGGTCCTAGCAGCTGTCAGCTGGGCGGGTCGTTTCGGGGGGCTCCGGGGGACGCCCAGGGCCGATCTCCCCGGCGATGCACTCAGGGGTCCCTCCCGGGGATGCCCGAGGGGCGCCCTGGGGATGCCGGGGATCGAACCCGGGCACTGCGGCCTCCTCTGCGCTGGCCTGGAGCTGCCCAGTGAGTGCCAAGGCCCTGGCCACCCCCGATGCCCAGCCCAGAGCCCAGAGCCCCCCGTTTTGTCGCTTTCCTGAGCTCTGACCTTTGCCTCTCAGAATTCCAGTGCCTGGGATACGTATCTCGCACAGACTTAATGACCTGGGATGCTCTGGCGAGGTTAGGGCCACAGACCCCAGTGCCTTGGCTGCAGCATCTTGGGGTGTGTCCCCAGGCCCAGAGGGGCAGGGTGTGGCCCCGGCAGCACCCCTGCAGCCCTGCAGTTTCCCTGCCCGCTTGGAGCGGATCGGGGATCGGCCGGTTGAGGCTGGCAGACAGGCTGTACTGTGTGCCGGCCGGCCGTGCATTATTTATCGGGAGGATTGACTCAGGGCTTGACCCTGCAGGTCCGGGAATAAAGGTCCTTTCGGGCGGGAGTCTCTCTCTCTCTGGCTGTGGATGCCGGCTGGTGACCCCCTGGGACGTAGGACCACCTTAAAGGCTGCCCCTGTGGGACGTTGCTGCTGGCTTGAGTATCACTGACCCCCTCCGCCCCACGGCCCTGTGAGCACCGAACCGGGAGTAGACCCTGAGCACTGCTGGGGTGGGGCTGAAAATGATCACCCTGACAGGTTCTCGCCTGGCTGCCAGTGTTTCTGGCAGTCCTCGGGGGAGCGGACGCGATGGACTCCAGGTCAGCCCTGGACAGGCGCCCCCATCCCTCTGTGTGGTCCCTCCAGACCCCCAGATGTCACACCTGGTAACTGCATCTTCCAGGGAAGGGGGACAGCGCGCTTAGGTACTCGCTCCTCAGCATTCCCTGCCCTGCTGACCGGGGCACAGGCTTTGCAGGGGGCAGCCCTCCCCCAAGTCAGAAGTGGCTCCCTGCCACCAGCTCTGGATTCAGAGTTTGCTAGAGTGGCAAAAGACAGACTCCCAGCGGAATCCGCTGGGACGTGGAGCACATAGCAGGGAACTGAATTACTGTGGGATTCGACGCTGAAATCAACTCAAACCAACAACCCAGGAGCCCGAGGGCCGCAGGGAAGTGTGTGTGTGTGTGTGTGGGGGGGGGGGGGGGCCTGCCTCACACGTGGTAGACCTGGGTTTGATTCCCGGCGGCATCCCACAGGGCCCCTGTCGCACCACAGCCAGGAGTAACTCCTGAGCACTGCTGGCTGTGACACCCAAAACCGAACCCAACCAATCAGAACCAGTAACCGTCCTCTTCTGGCCCGGGCATTAAGTGGTCACTCACAGAGGCACTTTTTATTTTATTTTTTTTCATTTTGGGTCATAACCTGGCGATGCTCAGGGTTGACTCCCAGCTCTGTGCTCAGGGCTGACTCCTGGCGGGGCTCAGGGACCAAACGCAGTGCCAGGGGTGGACAGGCGAGCCCCTGACCCACAATCCAGCCCCACTAGAGACCTTCAGGGCAGGAAGGGACTTGCCACCATGAGGCACTGTGCCAACGGCTGAGGTTGATTCCGTAACGACAGAGCCTCGGGGGACCTGAGCGGCCGGTTCGGGTGCTGCTGGCTGGTCATCAGGGCCCAGAGCACAGGCAAGGCACAGAGGGACCCCAACTCTGGGCGACCCCCCCCGACTTACCTCAGGCAGGCTACTCGGAGACCCCCAAAGTGGACAGGTGAGTCTGCAGGTGCCCCTGAGTTTGCACCAACCTGCCCGGGGCTCTCCCGAGAGCATTATTTAACCCGGAAAGAAAAAACCAAAAAACTTCAGATTAAAAAATAAACAAACAAAAAACCCCCACAAAAAAATAAACAAAAATAAAACCTAAAACCTAAGTTTTTAAGTTCCTGAAGCTTGTAAAGGAGAAAGCTTGGACATGTGTGTCGCTGGTGGTCACCACCCTGGGGTGTCACCATTTTACTCCTTTCTGTCTCGGCCTTAACAGAGGGGGGAGGGGCTGGAGCGATAGCCCAGCGGGGAGGACGTTGGCCTGGCATGTGGGCAACAAGGGTTCGATCCCTGGTATCCGATATGGTCTCCCGAGCACCGCCAGGAGTGATCCCTGAGCACAGAGCCGGGAGTCAGCCCTGAATCCTGCTGAGTAAGGCCCCCTCGCAAAAAACAAAACGTTCGGGAGGGCATTTAATGGCCCAGTGGGGACCCTTCACACTCGAGTACTCGAAGGTCCCCGAGTCACACCCTGAGGTTGTACAAGTCACTGTGTGTCCCAAGAGGGGTGGCAGCCTCGGGTGTCACTGTGCCCTTAGGGGAGGTAGATGGGGGCTTAGGTTGGTCTGGGCTCTGTGTCTGGGGGGGGTCTCACTGTCCTGCCCTTGTGGCCGAGGGCCCATTTCCCGTCATACCTTGGTCCTGCCGTCTGGGCCCATGTCGGGCCGTCCCAGTTCCTGTTTCCTCCGTCAGAGTTGGGGCTGGCGTCGGTGGCTGCCTTGGGGACACACCCTTTGAAGGTGCAGGTTCTGTCGGACAGGCCCTGTGGGGCCCCCAAAATGGGGCCTGTTGGTGGGCGGGGGGCGGGGGCCCCGCACCTCTGCCGCCCTGGGGGTCCTGCCAACGAGTGTTTCCTTGCCTGGGCTTGGCTGAGGGTCAGCGCCGAAGTGGACGTCCACGGGAGCAGGTGCCACCCCCGTCCGCGGCTCTCTGGGGGGGGGGGGACACACAGGTTCCAGGTGGTGTCACCAAGAGGCCTGAAGCTGCTCAGGCCAGTGGGGAGTTTTGCCGCTTGTCCGTCTGGGAGGACACAGGAGTGTCGAAGAAGACCCCAGGGGGCCCGTTTGGGGGTGCAGGGACCTAGGGTGGCATTGCCCTGGATTTGCTTTTCCATGGGGTCGGGGCAGACTTGGGCCTGACTCCAGGCTCAGTGCTCAGGCGTCACTCTGGGCGGCTTTCGAGGGGAGTGTGGGGTGCTATGGGCTCCCCGGGGTCCTGGACCCCGAGGCAGTGTGGGCTGGTGGTCGCTCTGTCTTTGGGTTGTTGTCGTCGTGTAGTGATCTCCCTCAAACCCCCCCCCCCCGCGCCGCCTCCCCCCCTGCAGGAAGCAGATTTGTCCGCCCCCAGGGAGTGAGCCTGACAGGGGGACCAGGGGTGCCCTGGGGTGTGGGGACACACGCCTGTCGGGACACGCTGCCGCCAGCTCGGCCTGTTGGCTGCGACGCTTGTTGTTCGGGTCGGGAGGTTCTGTGGAGTCTGGTCACGAATCCTAGGGGTGAGGGTCGGGGGGGTCCGCGTCTCGTGGATGTCCACAGGCCCCCCTGGAAGTGGGCACAGGCGCTGAGAACACCCCCCTCCCCCTCGACAGTGCAGAGGGGTGGGCAGAGGGCACTGTAGGGGTGGGGGTGGCTGAGAGGTGGTGGGTCGGCTTCAGGCTGACGGACACGGGGTGACTCCTGAGCACTGGGCTGGGAGTCAGGCCAGGAGACAGAACCCCCCCCCCCCCAAACTGCGCAGAGATGGGCCCCCAGGATTGCTCCCATGACCCGGATGTAGGAAGGCCCCGGGCGACTCTTCCCCGAGTCTGGGGGTGTGGGCTGGGGAACGGGGCGCTGTGGAGGCTTGCCCAGTGCTGGGGGCCCCTGGAAGAAGCCAGGTGGGTGGGCCCGGCCCGGGGTCTCCGACGTCCCCTCCCACTTCATCCCCCTGAACCCGGACGGGCCTTGGGGACGGCCGGGTCCTCTGTGACCCAGTGGATATGACCCGGTTGGACTTGTGGGGGGTCCCCTGAGCTCCTGGGCCCCCATCACCCCGAGCGGTGGGGTGTGTGTATGTGTGTGTGTGTGTGTGTGTGTGTGTGTGTGGGCTCGGCCCTGCCCCGGGTCCCCCTCCCGCGGGTCCCATGCAGAGTCAGCCTGGCCTGGAGTCAAGACCCGCTGCTTTCCGTGCCAGCTTTGTTGCCGAGGAGAGCAGGAAGCCGGCCGGGGTCGCGCGTGGAGGAGGGGGACGGGGGTCCCCTGGCCACTGCAACCCAGTTTGCGCCAGGGGTGCAGCCGGCAGTGGGAGGCACCTCGAGGCTGACCTGGGGGGCCGGCTGGGGCGACTCTTGTCTGTCCTGGGGGGACTCAACATCCCGACAGGATCCCCCCCCCCCCCCCCGACGTCCCCGGCCCCTCCTGGGACATGCTGGGGCTCAGGGCTTGCTTGGCCAGGTGCCATTAGAAAGTTCTAGAAACCCGGAAACCAGCTGACAGGCTATACGGGGAACCACGCCAGGTGCGGGCACCCCGAAACGGCTCCCCAGTCCCCCTCTCCCCCACCCAGGAAGCCAGGCCTGGGTGCGAAGCTGCAGATTGCAACCAGCTACGGCCAGCCCAACCTGACCCCTGACCCAACCCCTGGGGGGCCCCTCCAGCCTCTTCCTCGTTGGGTTGGTGGACACGCTGGTTCCCGACCAGGCTTGAGAGTGTCCTAGAGGGACTTTTTTTTTTTTTCTTTTTGGGTCCCACCCAGCGATGCTCAGGGCTGACTCCTGGCGGTGCTCAGGGGACCATGTGGGATGCTGGGAATCGAACCCGGATTGGCCACGTGCAAGGCAAACGCCCTACCCGCTGGGCTATCTCTCCAGCCCCCCTTATTATTTTTTTTGATTAAAGATTTTGTGGGGGGGCAGAGCGATTGATTTTTTTTTTTTTTGGCTTTTTCATGAAGCAGTATCAGTATTTAGCTGGTGAATACCTTCCTGGGCAGTGGGGGGTAATGAAGGAAGGTGTGGGGGGCTTCAAACTCTGAATCTGCCTCACTTCACCCAGGAAAGTGCCTGTTTTATTAGGCAGCACTGTCCTCCTGTTGTTCATCGATTCGCTCGAGTGGGCCCCAGTAACGTCTCCATGGTGAGATTTGTTGTGACTGTGTTTGGCATCTCGAAGATGCCACGGGGAGCTTGCCAGGCTTTGCCGTGTGGGCGGGATACTCTCGGTAGCTTGCCAGGCTCTCCGAGAGGGATGGAGGAATCGAACCCGGGTCAGCTGTGTGCAAGGCAAACGCCCTACCCACTGTGCTACCGCTCAGAATATGTTTTCTTCTATTCCATGCTAAGGAACTTGGGAGACTAATGAGATGGAGAAAACGTTTCTGATGGAAATCCTCAGCCTTTGAAGGACTCTGTCCTCCTGCTCCCTTCTAGTGGGCCCAGGGGAGATTGCTGGGGGCTTTTTCATCTGGCTCTGAATGACAGCTGGTGGGACCGGAGTTCATCTGAGGTTGGGGGCTTTGGAGTGGGGGGTCTTCGGGAGGAAGAGGAAATGAACTGTCAGCAGACAGACCTCTGCTTAAATAATAGCCTGCAACCCCCCCCCCCCAAAGAAAAAAACCAATAAATTAAAGCAAAACAGCTGAGCTAATACTCTGACCGACTTACCTTCACTTCCAAGCCTCAAGCGTGGGCATGCACCCCGGGGCCGGCGTTGCTGTTGCATCCGTGGGTCGGGTCCAGCTCCACTGGACGTGGGTGGCGGTTGCACCCGTGGGCCGGGGTCCAGCTCCACTAGACGTGGGCGGCTATTGCACCCCTGGGCCGGGGTCCGGCTCCACTGGACGTGGGCGGCTATTGCACCCGTGGGCCCGGGTCTGGCGCTGCAAGACGTGGTTACTGCACCCGTGGGCCGGGGTCCGGCTCAGCTGGACGTGGGCGGCTATTGCACCCGTGGGCCGGGGTCCGGCTCCGCGGGACGTGGGTGGCTACTGCACCCGTGGGCCCGGGTCTGGCGCTGCAAGACGTGGTTACTGCACCCGTGGGCCGGGGTCCGGCTCAGCTGGACGTGGGTGGCTATTGCACCCGTAAGCCCGGGTCTGGCGCTGCAGGACGTGGTTACTGCACCCGTGGGCCGGGGTCCGGCTCCGCGGGACGTGGGTGGCTATTGCACCCGTGGGCCCCGCCCGCGCTGGCCCCACTGACCTTCCCCCTCCGCCCCAGCGAGGTGCAGAAGGCGGTGAACACGGCGCAGGGGCTGTTCCAGCGATGGAGCGAGCTGCTGCAGGAGCCGGCGGGCGCCACGCGCGAGGAGGTGGACTGGACCACCAACGAGCTGCGCAACAACCTGCGCAGCATCGAGTGGGACCTCGAGGACCTGGACGAGACCATCAATATCCTTTCCCTGCGGCGCAAGGCACAGGCGTGCGTGCGCCCGCCCACGTGGCTCGCTCGCGGCTCTGATTGGTCGTCTCGGGCCCGGGGGCGGGCCTTCTACCCACCGCTTGCGGTTCCGATTGGTCATCTCGACCCTGGGGGCGGGCCTTCCACCCAGTGGGAGCCCACGTGGCTCGCTCGCGGCTCTGGTTGGTCGTCTCGGGCCCAGGGGCGGGCCTTCCACTCACCACTCGCGGTTCCGATTGGTCATCTCGACCCCGAGGGCTGGCCCTCCAGTGGGAGTCATTGCGGCTCTGATTGGTCGTCTCGGGCCCCGGGGGCGGGCCTTCCACCCACCGCTCGCGGTTCCGACTGGTCATCTCGACCCCGGGGGCGGGCCCTCCAGTGGGATCCCACGCTGCTCGCTCGCGGCTCCGATTGGTTGTCTTGGGACCATGGGGCGGGCCTTCTGCCCAGTGGGCGTGGCCTTCTCCCGACACGCCCAGGCTCCTGGGGTCCCCGCCCCCATCCCCTCCCGGTGGGTCCCTTCATCCCTGGAACCAGGAGGAGGAGGGATGCGGGGGTTCCGGTCCACACCCAACACCCCACTTGCCAAGGCCGACTTGGGCCGACTTGTGCTGGGAGGGGTGGGCGGTGGCATCTGCCAGGGCGCGCTCTGAGTCTGTGTCAGGCCTGAGCTTGGGTTGGGGACCCCCCCACTCCCCCTCCAGCACAGCCTTTCCCTGAGCCCCAGCGACCCTGGTTCTTGGTGGGGGTCCCACGACAGAATCCGAAGTCAGGGCAGCGAGAGGAGATGGTGGGGCACGTTTCTGCTCCGGGCTGTGGAATTAAGAGCAGAGTGGGGGTGGGGGGTCCCCGCTGCTCATCACTGGTTTTTTTTTTTTCTTTTTTGGCTTTTTTTTGGGCCACACCCAGCGATGCGCAGCGGTTCCTCCTGGCTCTGCACTCAGGAATCACTCCTGGCGGTGCTCGGGGGACCTTATGGGATGCTGGAAATCGAACCCAGATCGGCTGTGTGCAAGGCAGACGCCCTCCCCGCTGTGCTCTCGCTCCGGCCTCCGTCTCCTGTTTTTCTCTCTCTCTCTCTTTTTTTTTTTTTTGGCTTTCTGAGTCTCACCGGCGATGCTCAGGGCTGACCCCGCTATGCTATTGCCCCAGACCCTGGTCATCACTCTTTTTTTTTTTTGCTTTTTGGGACAAACCCGGCAATGCTCAGGGCTGACTCCTGACTCTGCACTCAGGAATCACTCCTGGCGGTGCTCGGGGGACCCTATGGGATGCTGGGAATCGAACCTGGGTCGGTTGCGTGCCAGGCAAATGCCTTCCCCGCTATGCTATTGCCCCAGACCCTGGTCATCACTCTTTTTTTTTTCCTTTTTGGGTCTCACTCGGTGATGCTCAGGGCTGACTCCTGGCTCTGCACTCAGGAATCACTCCTGGCGGTGCTCAGGGGACCCTATGGGATGCTGGGGATCGAACCCAGGTTGGCCACGTGCCAGGCAAACGCCCTCCCGGCTGTGCTATCGCTCCAGCCCCACTCCCCCAGGTCATCACTCTTTGGGCAGTTGGCTACTGGTCCCTTGGTCAGGAGGGCAGATGAATGAGCAGAATCCATGAGGTGACCCCTGGTATCTGTGAAGCCTGCAGGGTTGGCGACAGGGGAGGCAGACATGGGTCAGGTCACCAATGCAGGCACTGGGGAAGCTTCTGGTGCTCAGGGCCCAGCTGGGTTGAGTAGTGGGACAGATGAAAACAGCTCAGGAAGGTGATTCTGAGTCTCAGAAGAACAGTCACAGGGGTGAGTGTCAGGGCCAGCCCAAGGGCAGACAGCCTGGACCCGCAGGGACCCAACTAGTGGGCTGTTTTCCGCTCTGCCCTGGTCCCTGTAGATTGCCCCCAGAGCCAATGACAGCAGAAAGGCCAAGAAAGACGGGAGGAAGTGTTCCCCTTGACCTTTCGACCCACGCATAGTTGAAGCGAATCCGAGAAAATTCAACCTCGACGCCACGGAACTGAGCATCAGAAAGGCCTTCATCACCAGCACGCGGCAGGTGGTCAGGGTAAGGAACTGGGTCTGGGGATGGTCTGTGTGCCCACCCCACTTTGCTCCTAAGATACCCCCGCTTTGTCTTTTTGTGTCCCACCCGGCGATGCTCAGGGCTGACTCCTGGCTCTGCACTCAGGGATCACTCCTGGCGGTGCTCGGGGGACCCTATGGGATGCCGGGGATCGAACCTGGTTCGGTTGTGTGCGGGGCAAAAGCCCTTCCTGCTTTGCTATCGCTCCTGCCCCATATTTTACTTTTTTAAAAAATATTTTGGGTTTTGGGTCATACCAGGTGATGCTCAGGGCTGACTCCTCCTGGCTCTGCACTCAGGAATCACTCCTGGCAGTGCTTGGGATCCTCTGGGATGCTGGGGATCGAACCCACCTGAAGGGGAGTGAGTTAGAGTGAGCAGGTATCCGCCTGAGTGTGAAAAAACCAGCGCAGTCCTCGAGTGTGTCGGCTCAGACTGTTTTTTTTCTTTTCTTTTCTTTTTTGGGTCACACCGGTGATGCTCAGGGCTGCCTCCTGGCTCATGCACTCAGGAATCACCCCTGGCGGTGCTCAGGGGACCCTATGGGATGCTGGGAATCGAACCTGGGTCGGCCACGTGTAAGGCAAACACTCTACCCGCTGTGCTGTCGCGCCAGCCCCTCAGCTCAGACTGTCGATCAGGAACGAGGGGGGAGAAGAGACTGAAGCTTGTCTCGGGTCCCTGGCTGGTGTTTTGAAACGGGCTCCCTCCGCCCTTTGATTAGCATAATGGGATGGAAGGCGTCCAGCTGCCTTCGACATGTGCCTCAGAGCGGCTGTCTCCATCCCAGGCCTGGCGCTGGACCAGGGCTCACATTTGGCGCCGAAAGCCAAGCTTCCGTGTGAGCCTCGGGCCCCCGGGGCCGTGCCTGCCAGAGCAACGCCGTCCAAACGCTTTGTGGCCTTGGGATGTTCTCATTCCTCGGTCATTCGTTCATTCTTTCCCCAGTTGCTGTTCTGTACACGTCCATCTAAATTGTACACGTCCACCAGCATTTGAGAAGGACGGTAGGGTCAGAGCGATAGCACAGCAGGAAGGGCGTTTGCCTTGTACGCAGCCGACCTGGGTTCGATCCCCAGCATCCCATAGGGTCCCCCGAGCACCGCCAGGAGTGATTCCTGAGTGCAGAGCCAGGAGTCAGCCCTGAGCATTGCCGGGTATGGACCAAAAAGGCCACACACACACACACACACACACACACACACACACAGAGGAATTAAAGAAACTCTATTGCATCAATCATGTGTAGGTGATTTGCTGTCACTGTCCTCCCATTGTTCATCGATTTGCTCGAGCGGGCCCAGTAACGTCTCCATCATGAGACTTGTTGTTACTGTGTCTGGCATATCGAGTACGTCACGGGTAGCTTGCCAGGCTCTGCTGTGCGGGCAAGATACTCTCAGCAGCTTGCTGGGTTCTCCGAGAGGGGCGGAGGAATCGAACCCGGCTCGGCCTCCTGGCTCTGCCCTACCACTGTGCTATTGCTCCAGCCCGGCGATTTGCTAGAAAAATAAAATAAAATAAAATAAAATAAAATATAGGCGCTATTTCGATTTGAAAGGCGCCTTTCTCAGTGGTGCATTGATCCGCGCCCTTTCTCCTGGGTTCCTGACCCTGACACGACAAGCTAATTGGGAACGTCACCCCAATTTCGGGGTGACTTCCGGGGCTCCGAGGTTGCTCTTTTAAGTATCTTCCTTGGAAGAAGTCTGGAGTCTGGACTGCATCCTCTGACACTGAGATAGATCTCAGCCAGGCTTGTCACCCGTTCCTGTCTCACACAGCAGCTCCGGGACGGGGTCAGGGGTCACTTATCCAAACCGTTCTCCCTGCTGGCCCCATGGAATAGCGGGGTACGGAGTTCCGGGACGGGGTCAGGGGTCACTTATCCAAACCGTTCTCCCTGCTGGCCCCATGGAATAGCGGGGTACGGAGTCACCCCTGTGTCCTGCCTCCCCCGTGGGCTGTTTCTGTTGACAGGGGTGGGCTCACAGCTCCTACCTCCCTGACTGGATTTCAGCCCCCTCGGGGCCGGGAGTGAGGGTGCCCAGCTGGAGTTGGCAAAGCCCCCGGTGGCGACTCGGTGGTACTGACTGTCCCCAGCCACTGTTCACTGTGGCTCTTCTGCAGGGCAGGTGGACATGGGGTCCGAGGAAGTTTTCATGTGTTGGCTCTGCAGAGGAAGCCATCCTGCCGCTTGGCGTGCTGTGCGCTTTCTCCACCACACAGGGAGTCATCACACACATGCTCACGTGATACAGACATGCACCCTTTCGCACGTTCACACACGCACATTCATGAACACACATGCACATACTCAGGGACACATTTACATGTAGACACAGATTCACATCTGCACTCACGCAGACATACATGCCTCTCTCACACACACACACAGACACACACTCACACAGGCACGCACGCCCATTTTCTGTTTTCTTTTTCTTTTTGGGTCCCACCCGGCGATGCTCAGGGGTTCCTCCTGGCTCTGCGCTCAGGAATCACTCCTGGCAGTGCTTTGGGGACCCTAGGGGGTGCTGGGAATCGAACCCGGGTTGGCTGTATGCAAGGCGGATGCCCTCCCTGCTGTGCTGTCGCTCCAGCCCCTATATGTGCTCTTTGAGTGGGTCTGCCTGAAATTCTTGGATCTTTTTTTTGTGGGCGGGGGTGGCGGGAGGTAGGTTGGGATTGTTTGGGCCACAGTCAGCTGAGGTGCTGGGTCTGGAACCAGCGTCGGCCGTGTGCAAGGTGAGGCTGTGCCAATCTCTGTTGGCTGCTGCACCAGCCTCCTGAGGTCATGCCAGGATGTGGGGATGCGGGGTGGGGGGGTGCTGGTCGGTGCCCAGTAGACCCAAGGCCCGTCCTCCCTCCACCCGAGTCCGGCCTCCTAAAGGGTGTCTCAGGTATGTTCTTTCCTCTGAGACGAAGAAGCTAGTGAACTGTTTTCTGGGAGGATGCGATGAGCTATGCACGCCCCTCCTCTCCCCACTGTTTTGCCTCCGGCTCTCCCCATCTGGTCTGCTCTTGGCTCTGCAGGACATGAAGGACCAGATGTCCACGTCCTCGGCACAGGCGCTGGCTGAGAGGAAGCACCGGCAGGTGAGTGTGGGCGCCGGTACTGCAGTCGGGAGAGAAGGGTGGGAGTCCTGGCACTGCATCAGGGGAGAAGGGTAGATAGTCCCGGCACTGCAGTCAGGGGGATGGGGGGGAAACGGTCAGAGCTGGGCTCCCTCCATGTCTCCTGGGTTGTCCTTGGCCTGCTGGACTTGGAGAGAGGGGAGGTCCTGGGGGATCTTAAGCGTGCCAGGATCTAGGACAAATTCAATTCCAGAACTTTCTTCCTTTTTTTTTTTTTCTGCTTTTTGGGTTACAGCCGGTGATGCTCAGGGCTGATTCCTGGCTCTGCACTCAGGAGTTACTCCTGGCGGTGCTTGGGAGACCCTATGGGATGCTGGGAATCGAACCTGGGTCGGCCATGTGCCAGGCCAACGCCCTCCCCACTCTGCTATGGCTCCAGCCCCAGATTCCAGAACTTTCTAGACCTCAGACTCGGGGCCAGCCCATGTTCCAGGCCTGGGGGCCTGTAGCTGCAGTGCTTGGTGAGGACACCCCCCAGGGCCCATCGCCATAGCGACTCTTGTCCCTCTGCAGGCCCTGCTGGGGGACAGTGGCGGGCAGAGCTGGGGTGCCGGCGCCGACAAGTCCAGTCGCCTGGAGCGAGAACTGCAGCTGGCCAACGCCCACTTCATCGAGGAGCAGCGCGCTCAGCAGCAGGTACTGGGCACCCCCGGGACCCCCGGGACTGGGCAGGAGAACGGGCTCTTAGGCCTCTGAGGGGGAGGGATCCCCACTTCTCCAGCGACAGAGGCCTTTCACGGGGACACCTACACACCCCTCAGATACCACACAGACGCCACACAGACCTCCGGCACATATCACATGCCTACTTCATACTTCATACATCCCACACACCACACATATGTTATCCCACACGTGCCTCTTACCACACACATATCATATATTCCACACACACCTCATCCCATCCCACACACACGTCATCCCACACATGCCTCATCCCACACACACTTCATACCACACACACCTCATACATCTCACACACACCCACACCACATACCTCATACATCCCACATATACTTCATACCACACATATTATCCCCCACACACCTCATACCACAGACATATCAGATTCTACACACACCTCATACGTCCCACACCACACACACGTCATCCCACACATACCTCATCCCACACACATTGTATACCACACACACCTCATATCTCACACCACACATACGTTATCACACACATACCTCATTCCACACACACATATCACATATGCCACACAGATCTCATACACACACGTCATCCCACACGTACTTCGTATTACACACACACCTCATACATCTCACACACTCCCACACCACATACCTTGCACATCCCACATATACTTCATATCACACATACTTGATACGTCCCATACGTCCCTCATACCACACACATTATATGTTCCAGAGACACCTCCTACATCCTACAGCACACACGTCATCCCACACATAACCTCATCCCACACTGATTCATACCACACACACACACCTCATACATCTCACATATCTCCTTCACATTCAGTACACACATCTGCTTCCACCCACACACCACACCTCTTGTAAACATCACACACGTCCACCTCAGACGTACCACATACGCCATATACACCATACGTCCTTCTTGCACCAACCATACACACGTGCACCCCCTTCATTCTGAGTCCGTCTCATACACAAACCATACCTCATATGTACCACATTACATACATACACCTCATAGATGCCACACACACCTCATACGCACATCTACCTCATACACACCACACACACACTACATACGTCCCTTTTCACACCATACACCGCACCCCATACTACATACCTCATACACACCACACACTGCATATGACATCCAGGTCACCTCACACATCACATTCACCTCACACACATCCCACACACATTTCACACAACATCTATTTCCCTCTCTACGTTTCGCCACACACACACACACACACACACACACACACACACACACTCACTTCACACACATCCCATCCACACCTCACACATCTACTTCTCACTGTACACACCACATTCACCACACGCGCACACACACACATCCCACATTCACTTCAGACATATCCCATGCACAAGCTCCATTTCCCACTGTACACACACATTCACCATACACACAACTATATGCCACATTCCCCTCACACACACACATTCACCACACACCCACACATCACATTCACCTCACATCCCATCCACACCTCATACGACATCCACTTCCCACTCTACTCACACATTCACCACACACACACAACTACACACCACATTCACTCACACATGCCTCATACAATATCCATTTCCCATTGTGCACACTTATCCCCCCCGCACACAGTTCCTACACACACATTCACCTCACACACATCCCATCCACACCTCATACATCTACTTCTCACTGTACACACCACATTCACCACACACACACACACACACACACACACACACACACACACACCACATTCACCTCAGACATATCCCATGCACAAGCTCCATTTCCCACTGTACACACACATTCATAGCACACACACATTCACCACATACCCACACATCATATTCACCTCAGATCCCATCCACACCTCATACGACATCCACTTCCCACTCTACACACACATTCACCACACACACACACAACCGCATACCAAATTCACCTCACACACGCCTCACATAATATCCATTTCCCATTGTGCACACTTATCCCCCCGCACACAGTTCCCACACACACATTCACCTCACACACATCCCATCCACACCTCAGACATCTGCTTCTCACTGTACACACCACATTCACCACACACACACACCACATTCACCTCAGACATATCTCATGCACAAGCTCCATTTCCCACTGTACACACATTCACCACACACACACACAAAACCGCATCCCAAATTCACCTCACACACGCCTCACATAATATCCATTTCCCATTGTGCACACTCATCCCCCCCGCACACAGTTCCCACACACACATCCACCTCACACACATCCCATCCACACCTCACACATCTGCTTCTCACTGTAGACACACCACGTTCACCTCAGACATATCCCACGCACAAGACTCATTTCCCACACACACATTCCCCACACACCCACACACCGCATCCACCTCACCCGCATCCCCTCCACACCTCACCCGCATCCCCTCCACACCTCACACGCCATCCAGTTCCCGCTGTGCGCACGCCCCATCCCCCCTCCCCGCCCCTCACAGCCTCGTCCCACCCCCCTCTCTCCTTGCCGTATTCAGATTTCTCCTCCTCTCCGCCACAACATTCGGGCACAGTTGGGTCCTTGTTCTCTCCCCGACAATCGTCCCTTTCTCTGTCCCGAGGCGCGCTCTGGAGGCATTTCTGGGGAGCAGTCACGTGCGTCTGTGTGCCGTCTCCTGCACGTGCGGGTCGGTGGTTTTCCACTTTGACCACGGGACACAGATGAGCCGCGACCTTTGGCTTTTTTGGGTCCCACCCGGCGATGCTCAGGGATCACTCCTGGCGGTGCTCAGGGGACCCTAGGGGATGCCGGGGATCGAACCCGGGTCGGCCGTGTATCAGGCCAACGCCCTCCCTGCTGTGCTGTCACTCCAGCCCAAACATCGTAACTTGTGTGCTATTTCTCCAACCTAAAAGCTTCCTTCCTTCCTTCCTTCCTTCCTTCCTTCCTTCCTTCCTTCCTTCCTTCCTTCTTTCCTTCCTTCCTTCCTCCCTTTTTGTTTTTGGGTCCCACCCGGCGGTGCTCAAGCCTGACTCCTGGCTCTGCGCTCAGGAATCACTCCTGGCGGTGCTCGGGGGACCCGATGGGATGCCGGGGATCGAACCCGGCTCGGCCGCGTGCAAGGCAAATGCCCTCCCTGCTGTGCTATCGCTCTGACCCCACGTGTTGTCTTCTGAACGGCTCAAACGGCCACCCCAGCTTCAAGAGTGGGGCCTAGTCACATCCCCGGGGTGGGGGTGGGGTCCCCTTCCTGCCTCGGTTTCCCCACCGAGGTGCACTGTGTCTGGCTGCCCATGTCTTTGGGCGCAGTGGCCCTGGCAAGGTGCTTCCCGTCACTGTCATACCTGGGGGGACATCAGGGAGACAGAGCGGGTGTCGTGGGGCGTCAGAGTGTGTGCAGAGGCGCTGGGGGGACCGGGCGCTGGGTACTAGGCAGGGCGGTGGGCCGGGCCCCTGCGCTCACACCCGGCGTCTGGTCCCCCGGCCCAGCTGATCGTACAGCAGCAGGACGAGCAGTTGGAGCTGGTCTCGGGCAGCATCGGGGTGCTGAAGAACATGTCCCAGCGCATCGGCGGGGAGCTGGAAGAGCAGGCCGTGTGAGTGAGGCCCCCGCGCCCTGACGGTGCCGCCCCCCACTCCCCGACGCGCGCCCGTCCCCTCCCGGCAGGCACTGGGGTGTGGGCAGGCGAGGCCAGCAGAGCACCCCGTGGGGGTTGGGGTTCTAGGGGGGACGGACTGAGTCTTACTTCCAGCTCTGCCTCTTTTTTTTTCTTTTTGGGTCCCACCCGGCCATGCTCAGGGCTGACTCCCGGCTCTGCACTCAGGGATCACTCCTGGCGGTGCTCGGGGGACCCTTGGGGATGCCGGGGATCGAACCCGGGTTGGCTGTGTGAAAGGCAAACGCCCTCCACTCTGTGCTACGGCTCTCTGATTCCAGCAAATAAATATTCTTTCTTTATTTTTGCTTTTTGGGTCCCACCCGGCAATGCTCAGGGGTTCCTCCTGGCTCTGCACTCAGGAGTTACCCCCGGCGGTGCTCAGGGGACCCCGTGGGATGCTGGGAATCGAACCCGGGTCAGCCACGTGCAAGGCAAACTCCCTACCCGCTGTGCTATCACTCCAACCCCAGCAAATAAATATTTTATTTCTGTGTTTTGGGCCACTCCCAGGGATGCTCAGGGGTGACTCCTGGCTCTGCACTCAGGAATCACTCCTGGCAGTGCTCGGGGGATGCCAGGGACCGAACCCGGGTCAGTTGCATGCAAGGCCAACGCCCTCCCCGCTGTGCTCTTGCTCCGGCCCTGAAGAGTCTTTTGTTGTTGTTGTTTTTGCTTTTTGGGTCCCACCCGGCGATGCTCAGGGCTGACTCCCGGCTCTGCACTCAGGAATCACCCCTGGCGGGGCTCGGGGGACCCTGTGGGATGCCGGAGATCGAACCCGGGTTGGCCGCGTGCAAGGCCAACGCTCTCCCCGCTGTGCTATCGCTTCAGCCCCAAGGAAATTGAGTATTTCTAATTCAGTCTTGAAATTGGAAATATCCCTTGTCCCAAGGACTGCAGTGAACGGGAGTCCGCGGGCCCTGAGTCCCCCACAGATGCAGTTGAGTGCTGCCCCCACACCCCGCACTTACCGGGCCCGGGCGTTGCTCCCCTTCTAGAATGCTGGACGATTTCTCCCATGAGCTGGAGAGCACGCAGTCTCGGCTGGACAACGTGATGAAGAAGCTGGCCAAAGTGTCCCACATGACCAGCGGTACGTGTGCTGTGGGAGGCTGGAGGGGGTCCCAGAGCCCCCATTTTCTTCCCACTTTCCCTCTTGGTGGGTGTCAGGGTCCAGGAGTTGACCTTTGGGAGCACCAACATTGACTTTCGGGAGCACCACGCATGTGGACATATCTGTCTGTTCATCCATCTGTCCGGTCACAAAACACAGTTTCCTGGCTGTGAACCCCGGGGCGATACCCCCTGCATGATGAGGGCCGCCTGGGCAGCAGTGAACTCCTGGCTGGGTGCTGGCCAGCGGGTGTAGAAAGGGATCGAAGCCAAAATGCAGGGCAAGGTCACTGCATTTTTTGGGGGGGTGTCACACCCGGCGATGCTCAGGGCTGACTTCTGGCTCATGCACTCAGGAAATTACTCCTGGCGGTGCTCGGGGGACCCTATGGGATGCTGGGAATCAAACCAGGTTGGGGCATGCAAGGCCCAAGACGCCCTCCCTGCTGTGCCCCAGAGTCACTGCATTTTGTCACTGCATTTTGTCACTGTATTTTGTGAGGAGTCTGCGGCTACGGTTTGCATCCCAGCTTGGCTGGGACCCCGTGGGCTCCGAGGCTGGCCGGGCCCTGAGTGGCTGGCTGGGTCGGCCCTGACTGCTGCCCCTGCTGTCCCCACTGTCCCCGCAGACGGGCGCCAGTGGTGCGCCATTGCCGTGCTCTTCGCTGTGTTGCTCGTCGTCCTTGTCCTCTTCCTGGTGCTGTGACCTGTCGCCCGCAACCGGCCCTTCCCGACGAGGCCTCCCAGCGGCCTCGGCCCAAGCGCCGGACGGGCCAGTGGGCAGAGAAGTCCGCCGGACACACTCCAGGCACCCATGCAGGGCCGAGGATCTAGAAACTTCCATTCGCTCGTGTTTGCTGGTGCTCCTGCCCCCTCTCCCCGTGCAGACCCTCCCTGCTCTCTCCTCTGTGGGGGTGTGGGCTCCGGTCCCCACCTCCCGCCGCCCTCCTGGGGACCTGGCCGTCCTGGGGGACAGGGCTGACGCCTGGCGTGACTGGTTTTCAGGGATAAAACGGCCTTTCCAGATGCGATCTGGAGGCAGAGAAAAATGAACGGTGCCGTGTTAGCGAGACCCCCCCCAGCTGGTGGGAGGGTCGGGGCGGAGGGTGGCCGGGTCCCCCAGAGGCGCTTGGAATTAGACTCCAGGGAGACCGGGGGTGGGGGGCGGCGGGCAGAGGTGGGGGGTCCCCTCTCCAGGGACCAGGGACAGCTCCTGAGAACTGAACAGAGCCAGCAGAAGCTGTGTCGGACCTCTGATGTCTACGCTGTGACTGAGGAATGACCGGACGCCCCCCCCCCCCCCAACGCCGCCTCCCCTCCCACCCCGCCCAGTGTCACCCGCCGGGTCCCTGGGCCCTAGGCGTGGCCACCCCTTCCTGAACATGCCCCGGTTTGTCTGTCTCTCGTTTCGGGCTTGCTTTCCCCCGCTCTGTGACTCGCCGTGAGGTCGTCTCCCAGGTCACTTTTGAATTGCACTTTTTAATAAATATTTGTACCAATTTTTTAAAGGCGCGTGTTTTCCTCGTGCGTGGTGGGTGGCCGGAGAAAGCGGGATGGACACAGGAAACGGGGGACCAGAAGCTCCACCTTCATGCCGTGTTCATCTGCATGGCTGGGGACGCCCCGACCTGCAGGAGACCTGAATCTGTCGGTCGCCTCAACGTGGTGGTTCTCGTCTGTTGACCACAGAATGTGGCACCTCACGGGATATGGACCCCAGCGGGTGGCCAGCTCAGAAGCCGGGTTGCCCTCGCCTCGGGGACCACCAGCCCACATATATCCCGTCTCAGGGAGGACACTCGGGGCCAGAGGATACTGCACTGGACGTCAGGCTCGGCGTGGCCTGGCTTGGTGGCCACTGGGGTCCCCTGGAGGAAGGCTGTCCACGCACAATTCCCCCAGCTGATCAAGAACCCCCGTGAGCATCACAGCCACAAGGCTGTGGGTTCTTTTATTTATTTGCTTTTTTGGGTCCCACCCGGCGATGCTCAGGGCTGACTCCTGGCTCTGCGCTCAGGAATCACTCCCGGCAGTGCTTGGGGGACCCAATAGGATGCCGGGGATCGAACCTGGGTCGGCCGCGTGCAGGGTAAATGCCCTCCCTGCTGTGCTATCGCTCCGGCTCCTAATGCCACGTTTATACCAACCCAGCACAGATCTCACACACACACACACACACACACACACACACACACACACACACACACAATGCCACCTTTATACCACGGGCTGTAGATTATCACCCCCACCCAACACGAACCCCATTCGCCTTCCCATAGGAACTACAACCTGGACAGTCTCACGCCGGTGACCAATCACACACATGCCCTCTGTCACAGTTCACAGCCCCCCGCCACGGCCTCACCAGAGCAGCCTCGGTGCCCACGTCCCGTGGCCTCTCCTGGCTCTGAAACAGCCCTCGTGTCCTGTCCCCGGATCTCGCTGCCCCAAAACTGCTGGGGTCCCACTCTAAGAAATTAAGACAGGGGCTGGAGCGATAGCACAGCAGGGAGGGCGTTGGCCTGGCACGTGGCTGACCCAGGTTCGATTCCCAGCATCCCCTAGGGTCCCCCGAGCACCGCCAGGAGTCATTCCTGAGTGCAGAGCCAGGAGTCAGCCCTGAGCATCTCTGGGTGGGACCCAAAAAGAAAAAACCAGAAAAAAAAAAAAAGTCAGGACAGATGCTCCAGTTCGACTTTAATCATTTAGCATGAGCCCGCCGGGTTTGGGGGCCCCAGCCCAGCCCCTGGACACTGGGCAGAGCTGGGTCAGCTACTCTCCACACCCCACTCCAGGCCCTGGGCCATCTCATACCCATGCCCCAGGACCGTCCTGGCGCCCAGCTGCCCTTCAGGGTCCCGGGTCCTCCATTCACATCCCCCCATAATTCCCCGTAACGGCCCCCTGGAAGGGGCGGGGCTTGCGGGAAGTCCAGGGTTGGGGCCCGGGGACCCCCCGACCCCTCAGTGCTGGGAGCCACTATGTTTTCCACGGTCCTCACCGGCCCTGCCTGCCCGGGACCTGGGCAGCAGCGCCACGGCCTTCCTGGCTGATGGTCACTGCAGTGCTGGCCTCTTCGGCCTTCCCGGCTGAGGGTCACTGCAGTGCCGGACTGTGTGGTCTTTCCGGCTAGTGGTCACTGCAGCACCAGCCACCATGGTCTTCCAGGCTGACAGTCACTGCGGCACTGGCCTCTGCGGCCTTCCTGGCTAATGGTCACTGCAGTGCCGGTCTCTGCAGTCTTTCCGGCCAACGGTCACTGCAGCGCCGGTCTCCATGGCCATCCGGCTGAGGTCACCGCGGCGCCGGCCTCTGCCGCAGCACGCGCAGGGACACGCTGTCGGCGCGCGCCAGGAGCTCCTGCACGTGGGCCGTGCCCAGCGCCGCCACCTTGGCCCCGTCCACCTCCAGGATCTCGTCCCCCACCGCCAGCAGCCCCGAGTACAGCTTGGCCGTGCCCACGTCGGCCATCGCCCGCACGTACAGCCCTGCGGGAAGGAGGGGCCAGCGCATGTTGGGGGTGTCCACATGGATACACACACAGACACAGAAACACACGGACACACACACAGACACGGATACAGACAGACATACAGACACACATGGACACACACACAGACACACACAGACACGGGCACACATGAACACATGGACACACATGGACACAGACACAGACATACACACGGACACACACGTCTGGACACAGAGACAGACACAGACACACATGGACACACAGACATACACACGGACACACAGACACACATGGACACAGACACACACAGGCACAAACACAAACACACACAGGCACACATGAACACATGGACACACATGGATACAGACACAGACATACACACGGACACACACGTCTGGACACACACAGAGACAGACACACAGACACACATGGACACAGACATACACACGGACACACACAGACATACACATGGACACATAGACACACAGGCACAAACACAAACACAGGCACACAGACACACACCCAGACACACAGACACATTCATACGTACAGACGCACTCACACAGAAACACACACATACACCCCTATAACCACAAGCAAACACAACACTATCCTACGACATGCAAACACACTCCCCTACAACCACAAGCAAACATATCTATAACCACAAACACGCACTCCCCTACAACCACAGCAAACACACAACACAACCCTACACATACACACACATACATGCCCCCTACAATCACACACACATTCCCCCATCCCCCAATCATATGCAAATGATTACACGCTCCCACTCCCCTATAACCACACACATGCATGTACACACATATATACATGTGTGCACACATACATGTGTACACACACGCGCACACACAAACACACATGTCACACATGTGCACACGTGCACACGCGTGCACACACATACACATCACAAACATACATGTGTACACACGTGCACACATGTACACACGTGCACATACACAAACACATGTGCACACATGCACACACGTGCACACATACATGTCACGCTAACATACATGTGTACACACGTGTATGTGCACACACGCACACATGCACATACAAACACATGTACACACATGCGCACACACATGCATGCACACATGTACACACATGCACACTCCCTGCTGCCCCGCTGCCTAAAGCCACAGACGTGCCCCCTCGCTGCCCGATCTCCGTGCCCTGTTTCTGGGGTGCTCTTTGGGCCCACGATGGGGGGACGGTGCCCAGCAGGAAAGGGAGACGCCAGGAGCCTGGGCACAGGCTGGCACGCAGGAGGGCTGGGTTCCAGCCGGGACCCCCTGTGGTCCCTGAGCTCTGCTGGGAGTGGCCCCGATGTGGAACAACAAAGAACCGAGGACCCCCACCCCCACCCCGGGCAGCCCCACGGCCGGGGCCAGCACGTACCTGAGTCCCGGCGCCCGCTGCCCGCGGCCACGGAGAAGCCGAAGGTGCCCCCAGGGCTACACTGCAGCTGTAGCTGGCTGGTGCCGTCCGGAAACGCTGCCACCACGCGGCCCACCGTGCGTGCCCGGCTGGGCGCCCCCACGTCCTCCACACTGAGGGCGCGCCGTGGCGGGGTGCTGTGGGGAGCCCCGAGAGAGCACTGGGAGGAAGGTCACGGCGGGGACCCTGGGTTGTGGGGGACATCGGGGACGGGATCCACCGCCCCGGGAAGTGGCTAGACAGCTGCCCTCTCTTTGAGGGGGGCCCTGTGTGGGGGGGGGGCTCAGGTCTCAGGATTCTGGACCGCCAAGCATTGGCCCGGAGAGCTCGCTGGTCTCTCTAACTTTTGTTTTGGGGCCACACCCAGGATGCTCAGGGCTCACTCCTGGCAGTGCTCGGGGGACCCTATGGGATGCCGGGGATCGAACCCAGGTCGGCCTCGTGCCAGGCCAACGCCCTCCCCGCTGTGCTATCGCTCCAGCCCCTCGTCCTGATTTTTTTTAAATGAATTTTGTTTTCTGTTTGGGGGCCACACCCGGCGATGCTCAGGGCTGACTCCTTCCTGGCTCTGTGCTCAGGGGTCACTCCCGGTGGGGCTCAGGGGACCCTATGGGATGCCGGAATCGAACCCAGGTCAGTCCTCCCTGCTGTGGTACAGCTGCGGCCCCCTCTCTCGCCTTCCCAAGGGGACCTCAGATGTGGAGACTGTGTCTGACTCCGATGCTGCCCCTTTTGGGGCACCAAGGGACTGACCCCTCCTTCCCCACCCTGACCCTGGGAAGCCGCTGCTGAACTCCAGGGCCGCCTCTGCTTCCGGGTCAGTCCGAGTGGGCCCTGCTGCCCCTCACCTGCCCGCAGAACTGTCCCCCGCCGGCTCCTGGACCCGGTAGAGGTTGGCCCGGTCCCCGCGGCCACTCAGCAGGGCCTGGAGGCTGTGGAAGGAGGGGGATTTCCCGCGCTGGGGCGAGCGCGACACCTGTTGGTCGGGGGCGGTACTGCACGTGAGAAAACCCCCAGCCCTCAGGTCCATCCCGGCCCAAGGAGACCCGGGTCTGCCCTGGGGGGGGCAAGCTGGGTACTGCTGAGGTCACCGCTGGGTGGACAGGGGTCGCGGCCTTTCTGATTTAGGGAAAAGCAAATGATGCTGGAATTAATAGGGGCCGGAGCAATAGCACAGCGTGGAGGGCATTGGCCTTGCACGGGCCGACCTGGGTTCGATTCCCGGCATCCCATAGGGTCCCCCGAGCACCGCCAGGTGTGATCCCTGAGCGCAGAGCCAGGAGTCAGCCCTGAGCACAGAACCGGGAGTCAGCCCTGAGCACAGAGCCAAGAGTAATCTCTGCGCACAGAGCCAGGAGTCAGCCTCGAACACAGAGCCAGAAGTCAGCCCCAAGCACAGAGCCGGGAGTCAGCCCCGAGCACAGAGCCAGGAGTGAGCCCTGAGCACAGAGCCAGGAGTCAGCCCTGAGCACAGAGCCAGGAGTCAGCCCCAAGCACAGAGCCGGGAGTCAGCCCCGAGCACAGAGCCAGGAGTCAGCCCTGAGCACAGAGCCAGGAGTCAGCCCTGAGCACAGAGCCAGGAGTCAGCCCCGAGCACAGAGCCAGGCGTCAGCCCTGAGCACTGAACCAGGAGTCAGCCCTGAGTACAGAGTTGGGAATCAGTCCTGAGCACAGAGCCAGAAGTCAGGCCTGAGCATCACCGCATGTGACCCAAAAAACCACAATAATAATAATAGTAATAATAACAATAAAAGAAGGTTCTAGAACCGTTGAGGACCTCAACTCCAGGAGTTGGCACGAGAGGCAGAGGCAGGAGGCATGGGGGGAGGAGCAGGACGGGGGGGTGTCGAGGACAAGCCGAGGTGGGAACTGGGGGCACCCGGGTCAGCTCCCCATTGGGGTGGTGGGGGACAGGCCTGCTCCGGCCCTGCCCCGAGCACTCACCAGGTGCAGGAACTGCAGTGACGGCGCCCTCCTCGCCTCCGGGGTGCCGGGGCCCGGCGTGGGGGTCCGCAGCTGCTCCACGCTGTGACTGCGGGTCCGGCCCGCTAGTGGCCGGGCGGCCTGGCCCAGGGCCGAGAAGATTTTCTTCAGACCCAGGCCCGGGGCGAAGCCGCCACGGCCGCCGCTTCTCCTGCTCCGGTCCCAGGGGGCGGCGGCGGGCGGGCTGGGCCCCGCGGGGTCCCCCTGTGCCTGTCTGGGGAGCAAGGGTGCAGTGAGGGGCGGGTCCGACGGGCACCAGCCTCACGGAGGGGCGGCAGACAAGGGACCCTGTGGGGCTTGAGGCTTGATCAGATGAGTTCATCCAACTTTTTTTTTTTTTTTTGCTTTTTGGGTCCCACCTGGCGATGCTCAGGGCTGACTCCTGGCTCTGCACTCAGGAATCGCTCCTGGCGCTGCTCGGGGGACCCTATGGGATGCTGGGAATTGAACCCGGGTCAGCTGTGTGCAAATCAAATGTCTTCCCTGCTGTGCTATTGCTCCAGTCCTCATATTATTATTATTATTATTATTATTGTTATTATTTGCTTTTTGGGTCCCACCTGGCAATGCTCAGGGGTTCCTCCTGGCTCTGCACTCAGGAGTCACTCCTGGCGGTGCTCAGGGGACCATATGGGATGCTGGGAATCGAACCCAGGTCGGCCGCATGCAAGGCAAACGCCCTCCCCGCTGTGCTGTCACTCCAGCCCCTTGAAGGGTTTTGTTGTTTTTGCTTTTGAGGACACACCCGGCGATGCTCAGGGGCTCCTCCTGGCTCTGCACTCAGGAATCACTCCTGTGGTGCTCAGGGGACCCTATGGGATGCTAGGAATCGAACCCGGGTCGGCTGTGTGCCAGGCCAACGCCTCACCCGCTCTACTCCTGCTCCAAACCCCTGATTTTATAGGATCCCCAGTTAAAAATAACAGTCCTGCCTTTATTATTATCTATAATAATATAAATTATTATATTTATTATTATTTTTTTGGCTTTTGGGCTCACACCCGGCGATGCACAGGGGTTCCTCCTGGTTCTGCACTCAGGAGTCACTCCTGGTGGTGCTCAGGGGACCCTATGGGATGCCGGGGATCGAACCCGGGCCGGCCGCATGCAAGGCAAACGCCCTCCCCGCTGTGCTATCGCTCCAGCCCGGACTTCATCCAACTCTTTCTCCATCCGTCCACTTGCCCATCCGTCCACCACTCTTGCCTTTGTCTATTCACTCATTCACCCATCTGTCCACTTGTCATCTGCCCATCAGCTCTGCCCATCCGCCCAATATCTCCCCCTCCACCCACCAACCTATTTCCGACCCCCAAAGAGGACCAGGAAGGGGGTGCCCACCCCCAGTCCCTGAGAATCCGGGGAGACAGTGCTGAGCTGTGTCCCCATGTCAGGTCAGGGCCTCTGACCCCCCCAGCGGCCCACCCGTCACTCCGTCACTCACCGGGGTGTCGCGGGCTGTCCGGAGGTGGCCCCCAACTGCTGGGGGGCCCCGTCTGCTTCTGGGCTGCACCCTGGCTCTGCTGAGAGCCCACCGCTGGCCACTGCTTGGGGTCCCCCTGCAAAGTCCACCCTGTTCCTCCGGCACTGGCCCCCAATAAGGCCTCCAGGCTGAGACCCCCCCCAGGGGCACCGCCAGGTCACGGGACAGAGGCCGAGATGGCCTTTCTGGGGGGGCAGCGGCTGTGTGGGGGGGTCTGTGGTTTCACTGCAGGCTCTGGGGGGGTCCAGCCTCCACATCCTGGAGGGGACGGTTCCAGAGGGCAGGGGTATCCCGGAGAAGGGGACCCTCTGCCCAGCAGAGGACGGGGTGCGGGGGCCCCGGGGGAGGGGAGGGTCTGTCTCAGGCCAGCCGGGTGTCCTGCCCTCCCTCCCCTCGCCCTGGGCATGGGGGGTCCTCACCCCCATTCTCCACTCATCCGTCCACCCACTCATCTGCCCGTTATCCCTTCCCCTCCCTGGGCGGAAACGCTCAGCAGGGCCCCCCTCCTAGTCCTTCTGGGGGCGCCTGTCCAGCTGCCTGGGACGGGGGTCTGGGCCCCTGGAGACCCTGTGACTGAGGGACAGTGGGTAGAGCCTGGGGTCTGGGCCTGGTCTGAACCTGCCCCCGTCCACTGCCTAGAGGGGTCCAGAGCTCGGGGGTCCCTCCTCTGCAGCCTTACCATGACCGGGACTCTCGGAGGCCAGGGGGGGCTCTGGGCCGTGGGGGTCCGTCTCGGTCCTGCCTCCAGGCCGTATGTCCTTACAGTTGCTGGTGGACAGGAGCAGTTGGCCGGCGGGAGGCGGGTGGGGCCTCGCCGCGGAGGTCCAGGGCGGGTCAGTGGACACCTGCGCCCAAGGCCTGGGGGGTGTCGCAGGGGTGAGGCTCCTGCAGAGGCAAGGAGGGTTGGAGTCCTGCAAGGGGTCAGGGGTCTGGTGGTCACCCCGAGGACCTTCTCGGCCACGGGACAGAGCAGCGGGTGTGGGAGATTCACACTGCATCTGTGCTCAGGCTGACTCCTAGCTCTGTGCTCAGGGCTGATGCCCGGCTCTGTGCTCAGGGTTGACTCCTGGCTCTGTGCTCGGCACAGTCTCTCCAACACCTTGAGCTCTTTCCCCAAGGGGTCCATGCGAAGGTCCCTGAAAATCTCAAGGTGTGCCTGAGCTCACACCTGGCAGTGGACACTCAGCCCGAGCAGTGGACACTTAGTTCTGACAGTGGACTCAGCCCCGGCAGTGGATATCCAGCCCCAGAGTGGACACTCAGCCCCAACAGTGGACATTCAGCCTGACAATGGACACCCAGCCCCAGGGTGGATGCTCAGCCCAGAGTGGACATAGCCTGGCAGGCTTGGCTGGACCGGGAGGCCTCGTGGGGGTGGAATCAAGGTGGGAAGGCCGGGGGTGGCCCCCACATGACCGGGAGGGCCCAGGACGCTTCTCTCAGGCCTGGTGGTCCCTGTTCAGCCAGGCCCCCTACAGAGGGCTGGGGGCGTCTGCTGGCCCCATGGCTGATCTGTTTCCTGCCCCCGCCCGAATAAGCCCCTGTCCGGGCAGGCCCGAGTGTCCCCCAGGCCCTGGTCTGTGTCACCGAGCGGCTCTGGGGAGGTCCCTGGGCTTGAGGGGGGCTGGGGGGGTTGGCTCAGGGCCGAACGTGCCTGGGGCGGCCATCTGGTGCCTGCTCCCACTCTGCCAAGTCCCGCCAGCTGCTCGGATGGGTCACCTTGCCGGTCACCCTCCCTCCCTGCTGGGCACCGCCTGGCAGGAGGGAGCTGCATGGACCGGGGTGATGGCGTGACCTGGGGGCGGTCACTGCTGGCCCTGCTAAGCACCTCCCCCCTCCAAAACCACAGTCTCTCCCCTAGGCTCCAGATGGGGGAGAAAACTTGGGGGGCTTCTCCAGCCTTTTGCAGGCACCCGAGTGCGTCTCCTAACTGTCTGGGGTCCGGCCTGCCCCCGCGTGCAGTGCTCAGCCTGGATACAGCAGTATCAGCTGCCCATGAGGAATATGGGGTCTGTCTACTGAGGGTCCCGGGGGGGCAGGGACTCAGGGCACGCCAGGGAGGTGGGGGAGCTGGCCCCGGGGGGTATAGGGGGTCCTGACTCCGTGCCTGATAATCTCGCCTGGCCCGGGGCTCTGGCCTCGAGGAATAGGTACTTGGGGTTTGCCCTGTTCTGCATGCGGGTCCCAAGTCCAGCTGACCCCCACACTGGTGTGGGGTGTGGAGTGTCGGCCTGGGATGGGGCAATTGCAAAGCGGGTCTCGAACCCGGGCACTCCCAGGTCTCCAGCTCTGAGTCAGAACCCGGCTCCCGGGGGCTGGAGTGATAGCACAGTGGGGAGGGTGTTGGCCTTGCACAGGCCGACCCGGGTTCGATCCCCGGCATCCCCTAGGGTCCCCCGAGCACCACCAGGAGGGATTCCTGAGTGCAGAGCCGGGAGTCAGCCCTGAGCATCGCTGGGTGGGACCCAAAAAGCAAAATAATAAATTAATTAAAAAAAAAACAGTCTGCACCCTGTGTTATGTGAGCGGGCAGTGTAGCCTCATCAGATCTGAACCATGCCCGTGGTACAGAGGGGGAAACTGAGGCTCCAGAGACCTGTGGAGGGGGTACCCAGTAAGACACTCCCAGAATGCAGTTCCCTGCAGTTCTCGGGGAGCCCCACTGGGCCGGCCTGGCAAGCGGCCCCCACCCTAGCCCCTAGCCTACGGGGCTCCCCACAAAAATCACCAAAACCACCAGCACGACCAGAGCCTGAACAGTCCAAAGTGAGTCTCTTGCTCCCAGCCCGACACCCCCAATCGGGCTCAGCCCCACTGACCCTCCCATGGCCCCTCACGGCTCTGGGGGGGTCCCCAGCCTGTGGCTCCTTCAGGCATGACCCCTCCTTCCAGTGGGCACAGGCCCAGAACGCCTGAGAGCGCTGCCCAGGCTGGCGGCCACGTGGCCATCACTGCCCACCGGGTCTCTGCGTCCTCCATCTGACCATCCCCGCCCGAGGGTGGAGGCCGCTGGCCCCTGGCCCACCGGCCCCTGGACGCTGGGCCTCTGGCATGCCCAGGAAGGCGGGCAGCACAGCCCACTCACCTGTCTGGGGCCAAGGTGGGCATGATGTCGTGGCTGGCACGGAGTGGCCGCATCCTGGCCTTCACGCGGGCCTGTGGTGGGGGCAGCCTGTCCTGTCCGGGCCTGGGTGTGGGCTCTGTGGGGGACCCACAGGTCCTGCAGGGGTAGGGGGGGTGGGGGGGGACACGGTTAGAAGGTTTCCATGTCCCGCCAGCCCAGGTGGGGAGGACAGGACCCAGAGGCTTCCAGAAGATTCTACCGAACTCCTGGGCAGAGATGCAGAGGCTGAGCCCGGCCCGAGGGTCCTGTCCACTCACCTGCCCACAGGCACACACGGGCCCGTCCTGCCTGGCCATCAGCGCTGCCCTGGGGGAGGGGACAGCCTCAGCCTAGGCTTGGCGGGGCTCTAACTGTCCCCTGAGTGTCCCCAGTGTCCCCTGACTGTCCTTCCATTGTTCCCTACATTATTTTCACTGTCCCTTCACTGTCCCCTCCACTGCCCTCTCTGTCCATTCACTGTCCCCCACCTCCGCCTGTCCTCCTCAGGGAGATCCTCCAGGCTCTGGAGTGGGCGGGGACTGGCCACCGGCCACCCTCGGTGCTGGTGAGGTGACCTGCAGGCCAGCTGGGGCCACAGTTGCCTGGGACCACAGTTGCCGACTGGGCCTTTCTGGATGGGGGATGGGCCCATCTGAGCAGCTGTGCCCTCGGGGCCAAACTGCCAGACAGTCAGGCCCCCCGCCCCAAGCCGCTGCGCCGCGTGTCCAGGGCCTTCCCGGCCAGCTGCCCTGGCTCACGGGCTCCATCACGAGGCCGGGTGGGCGGCGGGAGGCCCCGGCAGCTGGCCAGATGTGGCGGGTCAGCCCACTAGTACTGTTTCCTTCTCTGTGGCTGGAGCCAGAGCACAGCGGGATAGGGAGCCGGCCTGGCACGTGGCCAACCTGGGTTCGATCCCCGGCATCCCATAGGGTCCCCCGAGCTCTGCCAGGAGTGATTCCTGAGCGCAGAGCCAGGAGTCAGCCCTGAGCATAGCCGGGTGGGACCCAAAAAGCCAAAAAAAAAAAAAAGTCCAGCGGGGAGGGCATTTGCCTGTCACGTGGCTGACCCGGGTTCGATTCCCAGCATCCCCTAGGGTCCCCGGAGCCCCACCAGGAGTGATTCCTGAGTGCAGAGCCAGGAGTCAGCCCTGAGCATCACCGGGCGGGACCCAAAAAAGTAAAAAAGAAAAGAGCTCCCAACCTCAAGCTTTATTTTCTATTTTGTACGGGGAGGATTAGCACGATAAATAGTTTGATCTGCTAGATTTCTCGGGGAAATACAACTGGAAGAAAAGTTACTGAGGGACCGGAGGGATAGCACAGCGGGGAAGGCATTTGCCTTGCATGAGACGGACCCAGGTTCGATCCCCGGCATCCCATAGGGTCCCCCGAGCCCCACCAGGAGGGATTCCTGAGTGCAGAGCCAGGAGTCAGCCCTGAGCATTGCCGGGTGGGACCCAGAAAGCAAAACAAAACAAAACAAACAAACAAACAAAAAAAAGTATTGTATCTTTCTCCTCAGGGGGTGGACACAGCGCGTCTCTGCTGTGGAGGGAAGCCGGGCAGGGACAGAGGCCACTGCGGGCTGTCCTGGGGGATGCTGGTCTGTCGCCTGACAGTGACAGGCGCGGCTACTGCCGGAGACATTGCCCCGTGCTCCGTCCCGGCTGGTCTCACTGACCCTCAGTGCAAGCTGAGGTCGCCTGACATCAGCGCCCGCCCCCCTGCCCACCACACTGCCCTGCATCCCCGGGGATGGCCGGGGCTGTCCCCACAGCCAGAGGGATGATGCCCACGCTGGCCTCCCGGGGTTTTAGTTTTGTGGCTTTTTGGGGTCCCACCCGGCGATGCTCAGGGCTGACTCCCAGCTCTGCACTCAGGGATCACTCCTGGCAGTGCTCGGGGGACCCTAGGGGATGCCGGGGATCGAACCCGGGTCAGTCGCGTGCAAGGCAAACACCCTCCCCGCTGTGCTATCGCTCCTCCCCGTCCCTTGTCCCTCCTCTTCCCCCCTCCCCCAGTGTCTCTGTCTCTCCAGGGATGCTGAGGGGGAAACCGCATCTCTGGGCTCTCACCTGGTTCCTTCCAAGTCCCCGTCCGCGTCCCCCGCTGGCCGCCCTGGAACCCAGAACAGAATCCCACGTGAGGTCGAGGGGTGGTGGGCGCTCCCGGGTATGAGAGTAGTGGCGGGCCCAGGATGGTGCCTTTAGGGGCGCTGACGGAGACTCAGCAGAGAGTGCTCCCCCAGGGCGGGGGGAGGGGCTCCCTTTGTCCTAAAGGCCAGGCCAGGTTCGCACTTCAAAGCCCAGATTTTTTCTTTGGCACATGCATCTCGCTGGTTTGTCTTTTTTTCTTTGTTTATTTCCACTCTGGGGTTATATTTTTTTCTTGGCAGGGGGTAGGGGGTCACACCTGGAGATGCTCAGGGCTGACTCCCGGCTCTGTACTCAGGAATCACTCTTGGCGGTGCTTGGGGACCCTATGGGATGCCAGGGATCGAACCCGGGTCGGCCGCGTGCAAAGCAAACATCCTACCTGCTGTGCTATCACTCCAGCCCCCCATGCTGCCTTTTTTTATTTTAACTTTTTTTTTTTTGCTTTTTTGGGTCCCATCCGTGATGCTCAGGGCTGACTCCTGGCTCATGCACTCAGGAATCACTCTTGGCGGTGCTTGGGGGACCATAGGGGATGACGGGGATCGAACCCAGGTTGGCCACATGCCAGGCCAACGCCCTCCATGCTGTGTTATGGCTCTAGCCTTGCCCGTGTTCTCTCTCGCATCATTTTTCCTTTTTTTGCTTTTTGGGTCAGACCTGGTGATGCACAGGGGTTCCTCCAGGCTCTGCACTCAGGACTTACTCCTGGCGGTGCTCGGGGGACCATATGGGATGCTGGGAATTGAACCTGGGTCAGCTGCAGGCAAGACCTACGCCCTACCCGCTGTGCTGTCTCTCCAGCCTCTCTCGCATCTTTCTAAGCACGTTTCCCTCCATAAAACTCTCCTGTTTCACTGGAGCCAGGTAGGAACCATCAGGGTGACACCGGACAGAATTCCGGGGTGGGGGGCGGTGAGGGGTCAAAGGGCAGACACACGTGCCCTGCAGGCAGGACGTTCGAGTTCTGGGACCCCCAGCCCCGAGGGTCCAGGACCCTAACCCATCAGGTGGGCATTGCTGGGCCGAGCTCTGCCAGGGTGTAACAACCGGGGTCCAGAGCACAGCCAGGGAGCACTTCAGGACACCCTGAAATTCTGCTGATGGAGAAACTGGCTGGATCCCCTCGGGGACCCCCCACTCCCCTCGCCCCCTGAACAGACTCACCTGGGGCAGCTCTGTCGCAGCTCGGGGGTCCTGGCTTCAGGGTGGCTGCCCCCCCACCTCTCAGCATCTCCCTCAGTAACAGACGGTTCTTCTCCACCTGCTCAGACAGGGACCGGGGACCGGGCCCCGAGCCCAGTGGCCCCCGCTCGCCAGCCCGCCAGAGCCCCCCGAAGTGGGTGAGCCTGGCCCCCAAGTGGTCCCCGGGGGTTGAAGAGGAGCTGTCCAGGCTATCCCGGCGGGGGGACAGGTGGCCCGTCCTGGGGCTGGGCGCGGGGGGCGTCTGGCCCTGTGGGCCGGTGCTGGCCCTGTGGTCCTCCCTCAGCTCTGCCGTCTTCTGGCCACCGGCGTCCCCAGGCTGCGGGCACGGCTGGTGCCAGCTCTCAAGCCCAGAGGCGGGAAGCCAGGGCCACCCGGGGCACCCACGCCCGCCCCCGTCCCCCTGGTGGTCACTACTGTCCAGCCGGCCGGCCTGGGCAGGGAGGTCTCCCATCGTGTCTGGCTGGAAAGACTTCAGCGAGGGCGTCCTGGCTGGGGTCAGCTGGACTCGCGGGCATCGGGGTTTCCTGGGGGGCGCCCGTGGGTGGGAGGCTGGGCTGGGCCCGGGCCCCTGGGTGGCCCCTGGTGGTGCCTCCATCCTAGCTGCGACCTCAGGGACATGGGGCTGCCTGTCCCCGGTCCCGAGCTGCCAGGGAGCCATTGGGCCAGGCGTCTTGTCCTCCAAAGAGCAGAGCCGGGTGCGGGGACCAGGCTGGGGCTCGGAGCTGCCTGTCGGCGTAGCTGAGGTGGCCTCCATGAGTTGGCCTGTTGCGTCCTACAGGTGGCTGCCCAGACCTGCAAAAAAGACAGTCTAATTGTTTTATTTATTTATTTATTTTTGGGTCACACCTGGCGATGCTCAGGGCTCACTCCCAGCTCTGCACTCAGGAGTCACTCCTGGCGGTGCTCGGGGGGCCCTATGGGATGCTGGGAATCGAACCCGGGTCGGCTGCATGCCAGGCCAACGCCCTCCCCGCCATGCTATTGCTCCAGCCCTGGAAGTCTGTTTAGACCCTACAGCCATGGCACCCCTGCCCCTGGGGTTCCCAGGGCCGACGTCCAGCCAGTCCGGCCGACAGCAGCTTCTTCCATCCCAGGACACATGACAAGGAAGGCCTATCACAGGGGCACATTAACTACTTCCTTCCAAGCCCTGTTTTGCCTCTTATTAATTTTTTTTGCTTTTTGGGTCCCACCCGGCGATGCTCCGGGCTGACTCCCGGCTCTGCTGACGGTGCTCGGGGGACCCTAGGGGATGCCGGGAATTGAACCCGGGTCAGCTGTGTGCCAGGCCAATGCCCTCCCTGTTGTGCTATCATTCTTGCTCCATCTGTGTGTGTGTGTGTGTGTGTGTGTGTGTGTGTGTGTGTGTGTGTTTTGGGGGCGTCCCGAACCCATGCTTCCACTCAGAAAAGTTTGCTGGGGGACACCCCAGGCCGCCTCCACACACAGCCCAGGCTGTCCATGGGCTCCTGGGGTCCCGCAAATATGTCCCAGTGGGGATCCTCACCCCGCCTTGAAGCCAACAGCGGCTGGGGCTGGGGAGAGGGGGGTGGTGTGGGCTCCTCCCTCCCTCTCCCTGCTGACACCCCACCAATGAACCCCAAGGCCCGAGGCCCGCTCTGAAAGCCCAAGCCCGTCAGAGGTCCAGGAGCTGGGAGCAAGCGGGTCCAGCTAAAAGAGCTTGTGGCCAGCGGAGTCCAGACAGATGGAACCAGCCGGCCCCCTGGGGTACGGGCCTGATCTGGGGGAGCTTGGCCTTGGGGTGCCCCTGTCCCCGCCCAGCTCTGCCCCTTCCCGCCCGTACTCACTGAGGGCCACTGGGAGCCCCTCCATCCCTGGGGCGCACGCCGGACCCTCCCTCCAGGCTGGGCGCGGGGCTGGTACCCGGGTGGGCCCGGCTGGCCGGCGCAAAGGCTGCGCCCCACTCGGCGCGTTTGGGGAGGGAGGAGGCCCGGGCTGGCGCTTCCAGGGCGCTTCCAGGGCGGGAGCGGAAGGGGCTGGAGCCGGGCCTGCCCCCCTCCCCGCCCCCTGAGTCCCGAGCCGCTTCCAGGCTTGGGCCAGGCGTAAAAACGGGATCGGCGGGGGCGGGAGGCGGGTTGGGGCGCGCGGGACGCACCCGGAACGCATCGGGGGCTCCCCGCGGCCGCTTTGCACCCAGAAGGCCTGCCAGGGTCAAGGTCACCGCGAGAGGGTCCTGGGGCACGCCGGGGAGGGTCCTGGGGCGCGCGGGACGGTCCTGGCGCGCGGGACGGTTCTGGCAGCACCCGGGAGCTCGCGCGCGCGGGCGCCAGCAACCAGTGTCACAGTTTCCAGCCCCCAGGTGCAAACCGGGGTGCAACTCCTCCCTCCTTTTTCCAGTCAGGGCCAGGAGAGCCGGCCAAGCTCCCCCACAAGCCTGGACACCTGGGGAGTCCCCAGCCAGGGAATTATAGAGCCCTCCGGGAAGGCCCCTTTCCTGACACGCAAGAGGCACGCACAGTGGGGACCACTCAGACCCAATCAAGGGCTGGAAAGAAGGTTCTAGGGCCAGGGCCGGGCTCTGACAAGAGTTACCTGGCGGGAGGAGGCAGGTAGAGGTGTGTGTGTGGGGGTGCACCCAGGGTGAGGGGGGCTGGGGACAGGAGGGTTCAGGCCAGCTCAGGAGCAGAGGGACCCTAACTTCCCGCCTCCCCCTTTTCTGGGGAGCAAAACCATTTCCTGCCTCCTGGAAATTATTATTATTATTATTTTGCTTTTTGGGTCCCACCCGGCGATGCTCAGGGCTGACTCCTGGCTCTGCACTCAGGAATCACTCCTGGCGGTGCTCAGGGGGACCCTATGGGATGCCGGGGATCGAACCTGGGTCAGCTGCGTGCCAGGCAAATGCCCTCCCGCTATGCTATCGCTCCAGCCCCGAAATCAACCTTCTTTTAAGTGGGGGGGGAAATAGTGTGTTCCTCCCGTCCTCCTTCTTAGCCCTCCCCCATGCCATCCATGCCTGGAAATCGCTCTAGTGCAAATCCTGTTACAGATCAGCCCACGACACACAGCTCAGAGGAAGTGGGGGGGTCCCTTGCCAGTCTGTCCCCCCATTTCCAGCCCAGTTAGGACGTCCCAGAGGGCAGTCCCTATGCCCTGCTTGTCAGAACCGGTTCCCTGCAGCCACGGCGGGGCCATGGGCCCATGACAGCTGCGCCACTGGCCCATGCCAGCTCGTCCGGGCGCTTTCTGCCACCATCAGAAGTAGAGTCAAGGGGGAGGGACAGGGGATCTGCCCAGGGTCCCTCTGGGGTTCGAGCCCTTGCGGTGGTCAGTGTGTGGCCACATGGCTGGCTGCTCCGCGTCCTCCCCGTTTTCCCGGGGTCACCCTGGCCTCAGCACCCTCTTACCCGGCAGTGGGCTCAGCCTTGTACCTTCTTTGCAACGCTCCTGCCAGGCGGGTGGGGTGAAAGAACAAGGTGTGTGTCGGGGAGGCGGGGAGAGGGTCAGGGGGTGTCCCCCGCTTGCCCAGAGGGAGGCCTGAGGGCTGGTGCCCTCCTTCCGGCTCAGGGAGCTCAGAGGAGGGGAAGTGGTTGGCTGCGGGTCCACCCTTCACACCCCCCCCCCCCCCCCCCCGAGTTAATCATCGCTGAGCCCCAGAGAAGGTTTAATGTTTACAGCGGGCGGGCGGCTCCCTGCCCCAGCCCTGCCTCTGGGGACAGTAAGGTGAACTCACAGGGGAGGGGTGCCCTATCGCAGAGGGGGTCCCCAGGCAACAATACTCGCACCACGAGAATGTCTTTAATTTTTTGGGGGTCCCACCCAGCGATGCTCAGGGCTGACTCCTGGCTCTGCACTCAGGAATCACTCCTGGCGGTGCTCGGGGAACCCTAGGGGATGCCGGGGATCGAACCCGGGTCGGCGGCGTGCCAGGCAGACGCCCTCCCGGCTGTGCTATTGCTCCAGCCTTTCTTTCTTTCTTTCTTTCTTTCTTTCTTTCTTTCTTTCTTTCTTTCCTCTTTCTTTTTTTCTTCCTACTTTCTTTCTTCCTCTCCTTTATTTTTTTTGGGCTTTTGGGTCCCACCCAGAGATGCTCAGTGGTTCCTCCTGGCTCTGCACTCAGGAATCCCTCCTGGCCATGCTCGGGGGACCCTGTGGGATGCGGGGGATCGAACCCGGGTCGGCCTCCTGCAAGGCAAACGCCCTCCCTGCTGTGCTATCGCCCCAGCGCCCCTTCGAGAATGTCTTTAGGCCACAACACCCAACGCCTCCCAAGGCATAGCTGGGGGTCCCAATGCTCGGGCCTGACCCCCAAGGCACCTCCCAGAGGCTGGGGCTGGTGCTTGGAGAACGCGCAGGGGGGTGGAGTGGGGGTGGGTGGGGGACCTGGGGGGGTTAGGGGAAGGGCAGAGGCGGCCCTCCGGGAGCTTGAGCACTGGCGTGTGACGCCGTGGCTAAGTGGGAAATTTCCAGAGAGGTACAGCAAGTCGGTCTGTTTATTACACCAGCCTGACTTCCAGGGCAAGACTCAGCCGACAGTGCTCAGGCAGGTTGGCCATCTCAGGTTTGCTTTCTGGGAGGATGAGACGAGGGAACTGACAACTACAACGAGACGGAAAAGGTTGGGGTCTCATCAAGGGCGCAACGCCTGAGTTAGGTCCCCAGCGGACCCCCTTCATCCCCAGCCCCCCACCCCTCCACCCCCAGCTTTGCCAAGCACCAGCAGCAGCAAAGGCCTCACCCTGAGCGCTGGACCATCTGTTTATCTGAGCTGGCCAAGTGCCCCAGCACCGCCTGGGAGCCCCCCACGGAATGGAGCCGTGGACTCATGTCGGGTAGATGGGAGACCTGTGAACAGGCTCCATGAGGCCCGACCCCCAGCGGGCAGGAAGCACGTGCTGTTTTGTTTGGGGGCCACCCCTGGCGGTGCACGGGGCGGACTCCCGGCTCTGCACTCAGGGATCACTCCTATGGGATGCCGGGGATCGAAACTGGGTTGGCCGCGTGCAAGGCAAAGGCCCTACCTGCTGTGCTATCTCTCCAGCCCCTTATTATTTTAATAATAATAATAATAATAATATTTTGGCTATTTGGTCACACCTGGCGATGCACAGGGGATACTCCTCACTCGTCACTCAGGAATCACTCCTGGTGGTACTCAGGGGACCCTATGGGATGCTGGGGATCGAACTTGGGTCAGCCGTGTACAAGGCAAACACTCTACCCGCTGTGCTATCACTCCAGCCTCCATTTTTTTTATTATTTTTTTTAAAGCACTCCTGTACTAAAAGGATATTCCTCAGGGAGACAGTTGCCAGCGACATGGAATTCTGAAGTGAGAAATCTCAACAGATCTACTACTTTACTTTCAAAATCACTCCTGGCGGTGCTCCGGGGACCCTATGGGATGCAGGGGATCAAACCCAGGTTGGCTGTGTGCAAGGCAAACGCCTTCCCCGCTGTGCTCTCACTCTGGCACAAAATCCCTAACCTGATGAGGAGGAAGTCGCAGAAACGGATGGTGTAGCTTTGCGGCAGAAGTTTCCAGTAGTCCAGGAGCAACTGGACCATGTGTCCTTGTTTGCTTTTGGGCGACCCCGGATGGTGCTCAGGACTGACTCCTGGCGGGCTTGCGGGACCATGTGGGGTACCGGGGATCAAACCAACCATGCCAGCTGTGGGCAAGGGGAGCGCCCTCCCCACAGCCGTGGCTCTGCCTCTCTCTCTTCTGGACTCTGTGAAACGATGTGATAACGAAACCAATCTCAACTAAAACGAGGCATTGGAGGAATTCCTAGCACATGCTCAAGAGCACAGTCATCAGACCACGTCGAAAACGTCAGTCTTCAATGAGCCGGGAATGATCATGTTGGACAAGAACAGAGTGTTAAAAGTAGCACTGTCCTCCCGTTGTTCATCGATTTGCTCGAGCGGGCACCAGTAACGTCTCCATTGTGAGACTTGTTGTGATTGTGTTTGGCATATCGGATATGTCATGGGGAGCTTGCCAGGCTTTGCCATGCAGGCGAGATGCTTTCAGTAGCTTGCGGGGCTCTCTGAGAGGGGCGGAGGAATCGAACCCGGGTTGGCCAGGTCGGCTATGTGCAAGGCAAACGTCCTGTCGCTGTGCTATTGTTCAAGCCCATTGTAGACACATTGTATTTAAAAGTAGGCAAAGGGATATACAAGATAGCCTTTCAGTGTTACAAATCACAGTGCCCAAAAGAGTAGAGAGAGAGAGAGGTGGAAAGTGTCTGTCATTGAGGCAGGTGGGGGTGGGGGGTGATGGGAGGGAACCCGGGGATACTGGTGCTGGGGAATGTGCCCTGGAGCAGGGCTGGATGTCAGAACACTCTCTGACTGAAACCTGATCAGGAACAGCTTTGTAACTGTATCTCAGGGTGACTCAATAAAAATAAATAAAAAAGTCAGTATTTCGGAGCTCCACGCTGGAAACGGTGGCATCAGCGAGCTCGGAACGGATTCTCTCACACAGGAAAAAAGTTTGCTACAAATGACTGGGAGGACATGGGTCACGCACGGAGGTGTGACGGGGTGCAGGGTGGCCTCCCAGAACTCACGGGGTCCGAAGACTCAGGCGTGCAATTCATATCCCCACACAGGCTCTGGCACGATCTCTTTGGCCAGCGCTATAGGTGTACATACCGAGTCTGTGGGCAGGGAAGGGCAGGTACTGAGCACCAGAGGCTGAGCACTGAGTCCTGAACACTGGGGTACTGAGCATCGGGGTTCTGAGTACCGCAGTGCTCAGTAGTCCTTCCTATCTCACCTAGCGGCATTATGTCCGGGGCTTAGTCTGTCTGGAGATCCAGTTAGCGCCGAGCTGCCGATATGGAAAAAGAAAAGAAAAGGCCTTTTAGGTTGGAGGCAATAAAATATTTCTTTGTGCACTTCCGGTTCTGAGACATTTTAGGATATGTTGATTTTTTTTTATTTTGTTTTGTTTTTTTGGGTCATACCCGGCAATGCTCAGGGATTACTCCTGGCTCTGCACTCAGGAATTACTCCTGGCGGTGCTCGGGGGACCATATGGGATGCTGGGAATCGAACCCGGGTCAGCTGCGTGCAAGGCAAATGCCCTCCCTGCTGTGCTATTGCTCCAGCCCCGAGGGTATGTTGATTTTTCACCCCTTTCCACAAAGGGACCTCGGGAACCGTTTCCGGGACGGCAACCAACATGCATCTCAGCACCCAAGGCCGAGAGCCTGTGTGTATGAATGAGTGTGTATGTATGTGTGTGTGTGTGTGTGTGTGTGTGTGTGTACAAGCAAAAGAACTCAAAGGCCTGCTGAGTCAGTCCTATTACCTAAGGGTCCCTTTGAGATGCTTATTTTGGGGTCTCCCCAGCAGTGCCTGGTGGTGAGGACCCAGCCGTGTGACGCTTCTCGGGGCCCACTGGGGTGACATCCAGAGGTGTGCAGGAAACTGTTAAGTGCCTGGGATCGAATCCGGGAGTTCACACATGCAGGCTGTGGGCCTTGGTCCTCCAAGCCTACCCCCCCCCCCCCAACCCTCACCAGCTGGTCTGAGTCTCAGTGTGATGTTTCAAGTCTGGAATAGCCTAGTGGTACCCAATGCTTTCGGGGTGATGCTTGGGGACCCATATGGTGCCAGGGATTGAACCCGGGTGGGCTGCATGCAGGACAAGTACCTGAGCCCCACCCCCATCTCCCAAGTCCCTTCCTTGGAGATGTGGCAAATCTGTGTAAAACGCTTCCACCTTCGAAGTCTGGTTTTTTTTTTTTTTTTGGTTTTTCTTTTTGGGTCCCACCTGGCGATGCTCAGGGCTGACTCCTGGCTCTGCACTCAGGAATCACTCCTGGCGGTGCTCGGGGGACCTTAGGGGATGCTGGGAATCGAAGAATCGAACCCAGGTTGGCCCTGTTCAAGGCAAACCCCCTCCCCGCTGTGCTGTCACTCCAGTCCCCCACCTCCGAAGTCTGTCCCCCACCACGTGTAAGGTGTTTAAGGTGTTTTGGGTGTTTCGGGACACGAGAAACCCAGAGGGAAAGACACGCCCAAGACAAACCGGCCGCCGGTGACAAAAGGACTCAGGCAAAGCGTTGGAAAACAGAGAGCTTGTAATAATGAAAAAAGGACAGTTTTGTAACCAATCACTTTTTTTTTGTTTGTTTGTTTTTAAAAACACAAGAACCACGGGCGCTCCTGGCTTTCTACAACCACCTAGGAACTACACAACAGGACCACACTGTGCGTTTACTTTGCCTACGTCGGGAACGCCGCGCTTGCTAAAGAGTCTACCCACGGGGGGGGGGGGGGGGGGGGGGGGGGGAGGGGGAGGGGAAGGGGAGAGGCCACGACGACACGATCGAAGCAAGCAGCACGTCTTGGGACGTCCACGTCACCTTTTCTATGACGGGCATGGAGCGAGTGAGCGAGGGGCAGGGGGACCAGTCACATTCCACAGTTACTTTTCTCAGTCACGACTCCCGGGGGCCCAACAGTATCCTCTGGCCAACACAGGGTGGAGGGGTGAGGTGACACGGGGAGAGGCTGTGAGGACAGATGCATTTTCCCCCCTCCCCAGTATCTACACGGAACTAGATTTCTGGGCTGAATGTGAAAAGAGCAAGACACCAGTCTTCACAACACCAAGAGCTTGAGTGCTCCTTGCACAGTTCCAAAGAAAATCAAGCTTAGTAGCATCACTCTTAGGGGACCCCCCCACCCCTCTCCCTGCTTTCATGCTGGTTTCTGTGGACCAACAGGAAAACTGTGGGCAGAGGGGCACAAATCTTGCTGCGCCCTAGCATGTGGGGGGGGGCGCACGGGCACCGGGAAGCTGAGGTCAACGATGGGCATTTAACTGCACGTAACTGGGATGCAGGCACGTGACAGCAGCGTTTAACTGCACGTAACTGGGATGTAGGCACGTGACAGCAGACACGCAGACCCCCAAGGCAAGTGGCGGGTTATGTGATTAGCCTCTCTAAGGTGATGGCACCATTGGAAGAAAAAGAACAGAGAAAAAGGGAAGGCAGCTTGGAAGACATTCCAGAGGAAAAGGTCACCTCATTCCCTCCCACTGTGTCCTCCATCCTCGGGTGGACGAGGCTGCTCGGGGCTGCATCCTCCTAACAGGGCGCTTCTCCCCTTGGGTGGTCGTGTGTGGTTTGCTGGTTAAAATCCCTTGGGGTTCTAGCACTGTCTAGCCTACGTTTCTGAGGCTCGGCCAGGCTCAGCCTGGCCAGCAACACCATGCTCGGACACGGGTCCGACTGGGAGCGGAAGGCAGGGAGTTTGGAACTCCAAGTGCAGAATTCTGTATCTGTTTAGGTCATTGATAAAAGCTGACATTAACTTCCTGTTCTCGGGCGTGAGACAGTGAGCCATCACTAAGGGGCACCCAAGTTGGTTACCAGATTTCTTTTTTGCTGAATTTTCCCCTAAAGTCCTCCAAACTCTTTGCCTGTCTTAATGTATTGTCTTAACTCCTAACCTCCCAGTAATGAGATTTTCGAGAATAGTATAGTTTTTTTATTTTTAATTTTTTTTTTGCTTTTTGGGTCACACCTGGCAATGCTCAGGGCTGACTCCTGGCTCATGCACTCAGGAATTACTCCTGGCAGTACTCGGGTGACCCTATGGGATGATGGGAATTGAACCTGGGTTGGTTGCGTATAAGGCAAACTCCCTCCCCGCTGTGCTGTCACTCCAGCCCCAGTATGGCGAGATTTTAAAGAAGCCATAGACTGAACAAACGTTTGTTAAACTCTAGGAGAGGTCATCATTTAAAACACTTCAATGTTGAAATGTTTTAAACTACGTCAGAAGAATTTTTTTGGTTGGGGGCATAGGCAAATTTTGGGTAAGCCACAAAGAAGAAATAATAATCTGATATTTGTTTCTCAAATAAAGATTATCCCAGAGAATATGACACTGTTTGGATAAAAATGCCATCTACTGGATTGCTTTATTATTTCTAAACTACAGGATTTTTTCTAGTCTTGGTTGAGAAAATTCCACAGGGGCCATGAATTGGGCTCTTCTCTTTTTTCTTTTTGGGTCACACCTGGCGATGCTCAGGGCTAACTCCTGGCTCTGCACTCAGGGATCACTCCTGGCGGTGCTCGGGGGACCCTATGGGATGCCGGGAATCGAACCGAACCCGGGTCAGCCGCATGCCAGGCCAACGCCCTCCCTGCTGTGCTATCGCTCCAGCCCTGAATTGGGCTATTTTCTGACTTCTAAACGAAGGAAATTTTTCCAAAGTTTAGCAAATTACGCAGAGGCCCAAGGAGCGATTTCCAGAAAAGTCAGGAAGAAACGAGAGAAGTCAGGAGAGAGGGGGCCGCCACAGACCTTGAATTGCCCTGCTTCCTGCCAGAGCACAGGACCTCCACAGTGAATTTATTTCCTCTTCAATTCACTGTCTATTGGCCTGAGGGGTCAGGAACGGGTTACTCGGGTCTGTCCTAACCCAGTTTACCTGCCGGGGAGATGGGGTCACACAGGAGCTGGGATGGTCTGGGGGGAGGTGGGCGTGTTACATTCCTTCTTTAAGGGGGTGCAGCTGTATCTGGGGGGGCCCTCTCAGAGCCTAGGGTCTTAGGGACTCTAATGGGGACTGGCAGGGGTTGGACAAGAAAGTTGAACACTTTGGGGAGGGTCTGTCACCTTCTCCCCCCCCAACCTTAAAAACCCATCACCGTGTGCTACTGGATTATCTAATTATTATCTACTTATTATCTAATTATTTTGGCTCCGTGGCCTGAAATAATGGAGCACGCCTTTTAGAGGCACAGGCGATAGGAAAGAAAGGTCCCTGTGTGGACACAGGAAATCGGCCATTTTTTGCCTTCTTATACATCACTGCTTCCAGGAGGATCCGCTGTAAGGTGACAAAGGGTTCTTCAACTGGGAACTGTCTATTGGGACCTGTCTCTCACCCCACAGGGCGGGTATTCTTTTTTTTTAAATAAACTTTCATGCCACCCCTATACTGTTAGAACCACCTTACTTTTCTTTTTTTTCTTTCTTTTTGGGTCACACCCGGCGATGCACAGGGGTTCCTCCTGGCCCTGCACTCAGGAATTACTCCTGGCTGTGCTTGGGGGACCCTATGGGATGCCGGGGATCGAACCTGGGTCAGCCACCTGCAAGGCAGCTGTGCTATGGCTCCAGCCCCCAGAGCGGGTATTTTAGCTATTGGCTTAGCTGCATAACCCTCAAACAGGAAATGTGAATCTTCTATGACACGAAGGTTTTTACCTTCTGGTCAGGGGGCTGCTCCTTTAAAACCCCTCTGTAAATGTCACTTACTTCCTAGGGTCCTATAAGCGTTTCAAGGCGCTGGAGTTGTCAGCAAAATTCTAGGCGGGACACCGGGCATTCACAACTGCTGGGGCAGAGAAAAATCTAGAAGAAAAAAAAAAACCGCACACTGCCTTCTTTGAAGAAAAAAAAAATTGTGTGTATTCGTTCTTCCCTATGTCCTTCCTTTCAATTAGAAAAAGCTTAAAGAGTTTGAAGAAGAACCTGAACTTACGGGTTTCAATACATAGTTGAAGGGGAAAAAAAACCATCATTGAGTTATCTGTCATGTAAAATGAAATTTATACAAAGTCTTAGCATTTTCCAGTAGCCGTTAATAGGATACACATGCCAGGAAAGAAACGGATTTTTACATTGTACCATCTATAAAAAATAATAATACTGAGGAGGGTCTAGAATCATGACAGTTAAAGTTAAAAAAACCAGACTGGCCCCAGGACAGACCCAGTGGGAAAAACACAGAATTCAAATACCAGGATTTCAATAACCAGAATTCAAATCTGAGATTTGTGTGGGTCATTCTACAGCTTTGCCAACAGAGAATAAAGCTGACCATTCAAATTGCTTGGGATACATATTAGAGCTACCAATTTTATTTGTAAATGCAGCAACCGGCCCTCTGGACTTACTGATATAACGCAGAAGTAATTACTACTATTTCTTGACAGACCAGTCATATTTCTTCCCAAGTTTTAAAGTACGAAAGAGAAGAGTTAGGAAAAAGAAAAACCGAGTATAAATTATGCAAATTTTAAACTAGTAAGGGTCACTAAATCGTTACCACTGATTATTAGAAAGTATTCAGTTTATTAAAACTGGAAAAAAAATCCAGCAATTAAATATTTTTTTTTTCTCTCTCCAGATTTAGGCCAAGGAACGTCCTTGGAAAAAAAAAAAAAAAAAAAAAAAAAAAAAAAACCCAAAAAACAAAAAAGAAAAAACTAAAAATCCAAGTTACAAAGTTGTATGGTTAAGGCTAAAAACCCCAATTTAGAAAGAGAACACATTTTGGAAGCCCGTCAGAATAAACATGGAAGAAGTTTCTTGAGAGAACAAGTATTTGTTAGATAACTGATGGAAACTTGGGACTGTTAACAGGGAATTTAAATTCATCTGCTGGAATGCGGATGGGGGGGAGGAGCAAGCCACGTGGACTGCGGAAAAAGAAGGGCTGAAGGGGGGAACTAAGTGGGTTTTTATTTGGGGGCCACTCCCGGCTCTGCTCTCAGGATTCACTCCTGGTGGGGCTCGGGGGCCCCTAGGGGATGCCGGGGATCGAACCCAAGGCGGCCATGTGTCAGGCCAATGCCCTCCCGGCTGTGCTATCACCGCCCCAACCGTATGTTTTTAAGACAAGCGATAACAGTGTTTCCTTCTACTTTTTCCTTTGTCCAAAATTAAGCTGAAAAAAAAAAGAAAAAAAGAAAAAGGACAGAACAAAAATTTTACTTGCAATTCTCGGCTGCTGCCGACTTTGGGATTTTCTTTTCTGGGGAGGGGGGAAGATTAAAACTCGCTTGGCTTTCCCCCTTATGCTTAAGTCACACTTGTGTTTCTATTACAAATGCAACGCTGACCACGCTCAGGAGAGTAGAACCCCTTCGGGTTTATTTGGATGAGCCAACACAGGAGAGAAACGAGACCAGAGAAGCGGATCGGGCCTTCTGCACCGACTGGGCGCCCTGAGACGCCTGGGAAACGCTCCTGCTTATCTTCACGCCCTGTCCTCAGAGCAGGTTTCAAGGGCAGGGCCAGACAAGTGCTGCGTTATCCGCGGGACACGCTTGGGTTCCCAACGCCGGTTTCCCCAAGGAGACTGTCTTGGAGCGAATTCCGGCCAAAGGAACCGAACCCAGAGGAACCACCTATCCAGCAGTGGGCAGCGTCTCCGCCAGGGCGTGCAGTTCCTTCTTGGCGGGCAGCGTCTCCGCCAGGGCGTGCAGTTCCTTCTTGGCGGGCAGCGTCTCCGCCAGGGCATGCAGTTTCTTCTCAGCAGGCAGTGTCTCCACCAGGATGTGCAGTTCCTTTTCTGGAGCTGGGTAAGGCCCGCCTTTAGGGGGCCACGAGAACCCATGGGTCCACAGGCCCTCTTGAATGTCACACGCAGCGGCTGAGACGTGCCGAGGACTTCCAAGCAGGAGCAGCTGAGAATATCGGTAATGCAACTTTGGCTTAAAATTAAAAAGGAGGAGGAGAAACGTGGGCCTGGTACAAAAGCCGTCTGGGGGGAGGGTGAGGGGAGGCGCGGCGTGGAGGGGACTAGCCCTCAGGACCCCCGTGCTAGCCCGCTTGCCTGTCTTCTTCCTCGGCGCTCCTTTGACGCTTAACTTTCATAAATAATGAGAAAACTCTATGTAACAAATACACCACATTTCCCCGCTCCCCCCACCCCGCCCCCTGCCCACCCAGCCACCCAGTCTCCCCACCCCGATAAGAAAAGTTCCATCAAATTAAAAAGTAGCTTCCTGAATGGAGGTGTTGCTTCAGAGGCGTTTTCCCTGCAAGTATGGCCAGTGCTTTTTTTTTTTTGCGCTGGGTATGAAGGAAAAAAAAAAAAAAACAACCCCCCCCCCAAAAAACCCTGAAAATTCTCCACCGACCCAAAACAAACAAAACAAAAAACACAACCCCCAAACAAAACCATCAATGTCCGGTTTCAACCAGTCAAAACCGGGCCGGGTGGAAGCCTAGTGAGCGGGCAGGGTGCGAGCCTGCGTGTCCTGGTGAGGGATCGAACGGACCCCGCGGAGGCTCTTGTTTCTGATCCTAAAAACGTCCTCAGGGTGGGCCAAAGGCAGGGAGGGGTTTCGCTTTTAAAAAATAGAAAAAGGAAAAAGTTTCCACCGGAAGGAAAGCGGAGATGCCCGGGGGGCTCGTCTGGGGGAGCCCCGGGTCCGACCAGAGGGGTCCCGGGCTCGGTGGAAGGTGCCGGAGGTCGCGCTGGTCGAGGGGAGAGTCGCCGGGCGGGGGGGCCGACGAGCTGTGGAAGGGGGGGGTCCGGCGCTCTCAAGTGTTCGCCTCATCGTCTGTGTCTTCAATCAGGACTTTCGTGTCACGAGCCTTGGATCTGCGAAACACAAACACCCAGACGTTTAGCACAGCGCCGACAGGGCGGGAGGAAGTGTGCAAGCCCCCAGAAGACCCGACGGGACCCCTGGGCCAGGCCGGCTGCAGCCACAGAGCCACAGAGCAGCCCTCCCCACCCCCAGCCCACCCAGTGCCTGGTCCAGAGATGCGCCTGACGGCCTGTGGATGGAGTGAGTGGGGGGCTTGGTCTTTACTGGGCTCCTCTGGGAGGCTGAACGCCCCAGCCACGATGCTCCCAGGGGCTCTGCGGGTTCTAGCCCACCACCTCCGGGGCGTGCCCAACTGAGGCACCCACTGCAGAGCCGGGATGAGCCGACCGCGGGCCGACGGCGCCCTCTGCTGGCGGCAGGTGAGGATGGACTTTGAAACGCTGCTGGGTCCACCTGGCCGGCCGCTGGGGCCTGGACCTTGGGGACTTGGGCAAGCCACCCCACCCCTCCTCTCCCCGCTGGAATAGCTTCAGGCCTCTGGCTCTGGGATACCCTTCCCTGCGCCTGTTTTCTTTCTTTTTTATTTTTTGCTAGGGCCTGTATTTATCTATTTGCCACATTTGTTCAAATTCAGGGGCTGGAGGGGCTGGAGCAATAGCACAGCGGGGAGGGCGTTTGCTTGCACGCGGCCAACCCAGGTTCGAGTCCCAGCATCCCATAGGGTCCCCTGAGCACGGCCAGGGGTAATTCCTGAGCACAGAGCCAGGAGGAACCCCTGAGCATCGCCGGGTGGGACCCAAAAAGAAAAAAAAAAAACCCAAATTCAGGGGCTAGAGGTAGGGCATTTGCCTTGCACGTGGCTGACCCAGGTTCAATTCCCAGCATCCCATGGGGTCCCCCGAACACCACTAGGAGTAATTCCTGAGTTCAGAGCCAGGAGTCAGCCCTGAGCATCGCCGGGTGGGACCCAAAAAGCAAAAAAAAACAAAAAACAAAAAAACAAAAAAAAAACAAAAACAAACAAACAAAAAAAAAAACCAGGCAATTTCTGGGCCAGGCTCCTCTGGCCACGACAGCGTCTGTTATTTTGTTCCTCCTCTCCCTGTCGCATGCCCAGAACGGCCTGCCGTCTTCTGGTCCTCAGCTTCTCGCTGCAAATATGGACCTGCCCGGTGCTGCCAGGATACACTGAAATCCTCTCAGAACGCCACTCTGCGGAAGAGACCTTCCTTCCGACATGCAGAATCAGCTCCCAGCATTTCCCAGTCTTTGACAAGCATGCCTCGGTTTTCCTCATGACCCTTCGCTGCCCTTGTCTGTCTCCGTGGGGTCTCCCTACCGTGGCCCTCACTCGGGTCCAAGTTCTAAAGGAGAGTCCCGAGTCTCGGGAACATACAGAACTCAGGGACTGAGACCACTACAGAAGCGCACGCTTGCTTCCTTGGACGTGCTTAGTCTACACCTGGCGCCACAAGTGTCATCTCTGTCAGTCACCCTCTGAGGAGCGACCATTCAAAAATACGAATTTCTGACAGAATAAAGAGACAAACGAAGCAACTTGGCCACGGTTGGTCCCATGGGTGGCAGACAGCAGGTTCAGAGTTCCTATAGTTTCTAACTTGAAATTTATTCGTTTTCATTATATATATATAAAATTTTTTTCCCCTAGAGGGGCCACCCCTGGCTACCCTCAAGTAATCACTCGGGGGACCCTATAGGATACTGGGGATGAAACCTGGGTTGGCTGCGTGTCAGTCAGGCCAACGCCCTCCCCGCTTGGGTTATCTCTCCGTTCCTGAAAACTCTTTGTGTGGGAAATGTTCTAAAGAGTTGGACTGGTCCTGCTCGAAACTTCTCCAGCATACCCTTGGGCCAAACTGGCAGGCGTCACTGTGCTGTGCTGTCCTAATGAAATGCAGTTCATAGGGCATTCTGTACAGCAGGAAACTGCTGATGCTGGGGTAGGTGCAAAGCGGCTGGACATTAACACCTTTATGTGTTGTACACTAAGAGCCCCTCGGCGTGACGGTGCCCTCCCCTCCCCCGCCAAACTCGCCGAGAGCCTCACGCACAGAGAAGCCAGGCGCGGGCGCCGCAGGGATATGCTCTGGTTGTACTTCCAGGCCCGGTTCTTCTGGCGATTCCGGACACCGTCGTCCTGGTCCATCATCTGCTCGAGCAGCGTCTGGTCGTCGGCGTTGAGCGGGGCCACGGAGATGTCGCGCACGGCACGGAACTCGCCACAGTTATTCAGGTGCTCGTTCTCCAGGCGGAAGAAGTTCCACACGAAGCGCCTTTGCAGGAGGGGGGGGGGGAGAGCTGGTCACCCCCACACCTGGACACGCCCACGGGACCGGGGCCCTGAGCAGGGCGAAGGGTGGGAAGACTGAGGAAACGGTCACGGGGCAGGAGAACCAGAGGATGCAGGCTGCAGGAGTTTGGACCATAAGTCAGCCCTAACGAGGAGAGCAGGAAGGAGCTCATTCAGGAACAAGAAGCCTAATGGGCAGCGCCCCTGGAGTGATGCCCAGCCCCGGGGCAGGGTGGGGGGCCGGGGGGTGAGCAGAGAAGAGAAGGGGGTGGCCAGGGGTTTGCGTGTGTCCTTAACAGGCTCTCTGTAAGCCCTTTTGGCTTCTCGGCACACCCCACCCCACCCACCCCCGTTCCCAGCGAGTAACTGCTGCCGGGTCCGGCCCTCGGCAGCCACGTACCGGAAGACCTCCAGGGGCGCGAAGACGGTGGCGACGATGTCCCCGGCGTGAGGCAGCACGGTCGTGGTGGTGGAGGTGACCGAGATCTGGATGGTCCAGGCGAAGCGTAGGATCACGTCCTCCAGGATGGCGCAGTAGTAGTAGGCCTGCGGGAGGGGCCAGATGGGCGTGGTCAATGCCACGGGCTGGGGGTCCCCCGTGGTGGGGCTGGGGGTGGGACTGAGCGGACCCCACACAAGGCAAGCCCCCTGTTCTAGTGTTCCCTGAGCCCCCTGTCCCAGTGCTCCCTAACCCCCTGTCCCAGTGCTCCCTAACCCCCTGTCTCAGTGCTCCCTAACCCCCCGTCCCAGTGCTCCCTAAGCCCCCTGTCCCAGTGCTCCCTAAGCCCCCATCCTAATCCTAATGCTCCTTAAGCCCCTGTCCTAGTGCTCCCGAAGCCGCTGTCTTAGTGCTCCCTAAGCCCCCGTCCTAGTGCTCTCAAAGTGCCCGTCCTAGTGCTCCCTATGCCCTGTCCTAGTGCTCCCTAAGCCCCCATTCTACTGCTCCCTAAGCCCCCCATCCCAGTGCTCATTAAGCCCCCATCCTAATGCGCAAGCCCCATCCTAGTGCTCCTGAAGCCCCCTAGTCCTAGTGCTCCCTAAGGCCCTGTCCTAGTGCTCCATAAGTTCCCTATCCCAGTGCTCCCTAAGCCCCTATCCTAATGCTCCCTAAACCTCCTGTCCTTGTGTTCCCTAAACCTCCTGTCCTAGTGTTCCATAAGCCCCCACCCTAGTGCTCCCTAAGGCCCCTGTCCTAGTGCTCCCTAAGCCCGATGGTACACCAGATGCCCGCCAGACCCCAGATCTCCGTGAGGTGACACGACGTGCCGACAGACGCGAGAGCCAATTCTGGACAGACTGGCAGACTCCTGGTGATGCTCGGGGTGCCTAGGGGCCTTGAGGGATGCTGGGACTCACCCAGGCCGGGCGCCCTCCCCGCGGGGGCTCTCTCTCGACTAGCTCTGCTCCTGGGACTCTGCAGGCCCAAACGGCCTGACTGGGCACTTGAGGGCAGTTTCATTTTGCTTTTTGATGTCGGTAGGCGAGATCTGGCTGGGAGTCCCACCGACAGGGCTGGATTTCAGAAACGTTCCATTTCTATTCGGGGTAAGGCAGCACTCAATGAATTCTTCCAGGTGCGACTGGATTATCTATTATTTAGGAGTCCGACTGCTGCCAAGACACAAACCTCTTAGGCACATCAAGGACTAACACAGCAGATCGATCTGCTTAATACTAAGCTCTGGATAAGGGGCTCTTTACACAGATGTGTTTAACGGCCAGATTATGGAAAGTAGAGCTGTCAAGTATTAAAAAATGTCTATTTTATTTTATGTATTTTATTTTTTCTTTTTCACCATCTGAAAATGGTATTTTCTCCGTCCCTCTCAGAGAGCCCGGCAGGCTACCGAGAGAATCCCACCCACACGGCAGAGTCTGGCAAGCTACCTGTGGCGTATTCGATATGCCAAGAACAGTAACCAATGAGGGTTCTCATTCCCTTGACCCTGAAAGAGCCCCCAATATGCCATCGGGCTACACTAGCACACAACAGGGACGAACGGAGATGTTACTAGAGCCCGCTCAAGCAAATCGATGAACAGCGAGATGACAGTGATACAGAGTTCTTTTTGGGTTACACCTGGCGATGCACAGGAGTTACTCCTGGCTCATGCACTCAGGAATTACCCCTGGCAGTGCTCGGGGGACCCTACGGGATGCTGGGATTTGAACCCGGGTTGGCCGTGTGCAAGGCAAATGCCCTCCCCACTGTGCTATTGCTCCAGTCCCGTCTATTTTGTTTTAAGAAATTTTAACGCAGAAGGCATTTGGCATTCTCTTATTCCTAGTTATTCTAATTAGGATTTGTAACTGTTTCTCCTATTATTTTTATTGTTAAATAACGTGAATGTGCACATTACATATATACATAATTACATATAGATATATATGCTATTGATCAAGCTGAGGCATGGTCTACTGACTGCTTCTGGTCATTGACAAAGGTCTCTAAAACACACGAACATTCCTTCTCGATCTTTCCTCCATCCACTCTGCAGGTTCCGAGGACACGATGGTTTCTGGATAAACGGGCCCTGACATATTTGGATAAATCTGTGCTCAGTACATGTGTCATGAGGTTGATGTAAGACCTGCAAGTTCGGGGCTGGAGCCATAGCAGAGCGGGGAGGGCGTTTGCCTTGCACTCGGCTGACCTGGGTTCGATTCCCAGCATTCCATAGGGTCCCCTGAGCACCGCCAGGAGTGATTCCTGAGTGCAGAGCCAGGAGGAACCCCTGAGCATCACTGGGTATAACCCCAAAAGAAACAACAACAACAACAACAACAGCAACCACAACAACAGAGAGTCGAAAAGCTTCTGTCTACCCTAAGATGCACCTTAAAATGCTATTATTACTTGCCAAGAAATAGTAGGTATAGCTGCCAAACTTAAAATTATCGGGAAACTCCAGTGAGAGAAAATGTATATATATATGCATATATTTAAAACATAGTCTGGAGAATTTTATGCAGAGACACTTGTTAGAAAATTATCAAAGTCACTCTCTGACCCACTGTATATCTTTGAAATTTTTGCTAAGGAAATCAATATAAATAAATGCCTCTGATACATTAAAAAAATAAAAAAGAAATGCTCTTCTTACTTGTGAAGCAGTGCGATCAAAGAATACCCCCTTTGGGCCTTCGCCTGCCTCTTAGAACTTACCCACATCCACTGTCCTGTCATTTCCGACTGTCACACTTGAACGCGGCCCTCCCTACGCACAACTAATCCAAACACACACGTTTCAAGTTGCACATGAAGGTCCTGGTGATGCTGGAGAGGACGTCAGTGACCCAATCTGCATGCTCCTTCCTCTTCATCAAAGAATTTTAGGGAAGGACCAAGAGATGAGCCAGTGTGACAGCCTCCCTCAGTAAGGGGAATAAACTGGAATCTGCTCCCAACATTAAGAAGCAAGTCACAGAATGCTGAGATGAGTCACTGAGACTAGTTACTTGCAGTTACTTGGTTAACTGCATCTATTTAGGATGCAGTTTACGGGCAGCCTAAAGAACCAGCTCGCTGTCAATTTTCCTTCAGCACTGAGTCAAGATATTCTTGGTCTTTAGACTTTTTAACTCAGTACCCTGTGTCCCTTCACACACACACTGATAAAATTTTAAAATCATTCTTTCACTTTGTTTTGGTTGTGGGGCCACAACCAGTGGAGCTCAGGGCTTACTCCTGTCTTTGTGCTCAAGGGTCACTGCTGAAAACCCCCAATTAACGCTTAAGGAATGAGCTGCGTCTGTCAACAGAATGGGCACTTCACTTTTGCTGAAGCAATGAGGTCAGTGTAAGACGTCACCCTGATCCACCCAACTTTTGCATCCATTCCACAGACACAGTGACGGGACCACACGCACGCAAAGTGACACAGGGACAGGACAGAGAAGCAAACAGAAATGAGCTTCTCAGAGAAGTGACGTTTCTCCAACTCCTTTGTAGTTTGTTTGGGGGTCATACTTGGCTCTCAGCTCTGAGCTGGCTCTTGGCAGTGCCCCCACACTCCTACCCCTCATGACTCCTACCTTCAATTCAAAGGGAGAATAGGAGTTTACACAGCAGACAAAGGAAGAGCCCACTTAAAAAAAAAGCCATAAATCATAAATCAGAATAAAGGCTTGTTTCTCTAGCTGTCACACTGTACTGCTCTTGGTTTACTTGCAGTTACTTGGTTAACTGCATCTGTTTAGGATGCAGTTTACAGGCAGCCTAGAGAACCCAGATTGTGTGTGTGTGTGTGTGTGTGTGTGTGTGTGTTTAAAATGAAATAGAATTGTTATAAAGAAATGGAGAGAAATATGAGGGGAGAGACAGAGACACAAATTCAAGAGAGAATCCAGGCTTCTCCCTTGCATTGTAGGGCTATAGTAAACACGTGGAGAAACACTTATAATGGTGATTATTTTCTAATCATATGGATTGGCTACGGTCAGATTTGCTAACAAATCTGGTGATTCAGCTGAGACTGTTCCTTTTTCGGTTTGGTTTTAAGCCAACAGGCTCTTGGTACCTACTTTCTGGGGATACACAATCTCCTCTCGGAGGAAGGTGTTTTCTCCAGCATTCTTGTCAAAGAGGCCCCAGTCCATCTTCAGGTCCCAGATGAGGGTGTAGCAGGAGCTAATGATACAGAAGACGATCCACAGGTAGAAGAACACCGTAGTGTCTGCGTGGCCTTGCTCTGGAGGAGGGAGAGAGAAGGATCAGGCAGAGAGAATGTTACTGCATCGAGCAAGGCCTTGTCACCCGAGGGACCCTCAAAGGACGGTGAGACGGCACAAGGGGATGGGGTGCAAGCCTGTGTCGTGCACCTTCATCAGGTCCCATCAGGTCCCGAGTTTGGTCCTGGGCCTCTCTCAGCACCCCAGCCCGCCTCCCCAGCACCTTCCGTGTGGTCCGGTGGCTTCCGGGACAGCCTGCAGTGCCCGATCCCCAAAAGAAAAGGATTCTGCACATACAGTTTCATAACTGAAGATTTTGTCTTGTTTTGGAGCCATACCCGGCCATGCTAGTGGTGGACTCTTGGCTCTGTGCTCTGGGCTCACTCATGGTGTAGCTCGAGGTACCAAACGGGGTGCTGGGGACTGAACCCAGGCTGGCGCACACAAGCTTAAACAAATTTCCCCCAACAAGAATGTGTCTAAGATGGGGCTGGAGCGATAGTACAGCGGGGAGGGCATTTGCCTTGCACGTGGCTGACCCGAGTTCAATTCCCAGCATCCCACAGGATCCCCTGAGCACTGACAGGAGTGATTCATGAGTGCAGAGCCAGGAGGAAGCCCTGTGCATTACTTAATTAAAAATAAGTAATTAAAAAAAAACCCAATACAACCTGTCTAACAAATGGCAAATAATTCTGATTCTCGAGGTTCCAAACGGTGACAAATTTATTATATAGTCTTGTACAGAGATTAAGTATTGGACTTTGCGAGAACCCAACGCTGAATGCATGGACACACACCAAATTGCTTAAGTCATGGACACAAAAGATGGTATTTTAATTTTTTGCCATCAGGTGGCAGCTTAGAGTCAAAGATGCGGGGAAAACCATCCATCCAAACCCTGGATGGCATTGCCCTGGGTTTTTTTTTTTGCTTTAAAACATTTCCTTCATACACTGAGGCTTTGTCAATACTTGTCATAAAGACAATCTGACCACTTCAGTCCTAGATAAAAATGCCAGAAAGCAACAGACTGATGAGGGTTCTACCCTTAAGCACATTTTTAAAAGTGTTAGGAAACAAAACATGGGATGTTTAGCTTTGTCTAAAGGCTACCTTACTCAGACAAGGGCCAATGCCGTAAAATATTTTCCGTAAAATCGCTCTTGGCTTTATGTGGGCTTTGTAAAGTACATTAAATGGAAGTAATAAAAACGATTTTGCCAGTATAGTTCATACAAGTCAGCCTTAGTTTTGCATACTCCGTCATATGTTCTCCAAAGAAATTCTTTTGGGGGGGCCGCAGCAATAGCACAGCGGGGAAGACTTTGGCCTGGCATGCGGCCGACCCGGGTTCGATCCCCAGCATCCCACAGGGTCCCCCGAGCACCGCCAGGAGTGATCCCTGAGTGCAGAGCCGGGAGTCGGCCCTGAGCATCACCGGGTGGGACCAAAAAAGCAAAACAAACAAGCAAGCAAATTTTTAGTAACTTGAGGAGTCATTAGGATGTGTATTTTTCTTGGGGAACGGGGCGGAGCTGATCACACCTGGGGGTGCCCAGGGGACTGTGGGGTGCTGAGGATCAAGCCAGGTTTGCTGCCTGCCTTCTTACCCCCTGTACCACCTATGATGTGGGCGGCCCACATCGTAATTAAAAACAAAATTCCTCTAGATATTGCAGAACTGTGTTTTCGAACTACGGATGTGGTTCTGAATCGTGAGGGATGAAAGGTACAAAATGTTTAATTAAGAGAGTTTAAAACGAGGTCAGAGTGGGGAGGTCAGCTCAGAAGGCAAAGTACACCAGGTGAGAAGTGCCACAGGGAGAGCGCCTGCCCCCTCCTGCACGTAGCCCACCGGGGTTTCATCCCCGGCATCCCACAGGGTCCCCTGAGCACCGCCAGGAGGGATCCCTGAGTGTAGAGCCAGGAGTCAGCCCCGAGCATCGCTGGGGGTGGCCCAAAACCAAGTCAAAAGAAAGATGAAACATTTCTGCTAATTTCCCAAAGGTAAAGGCTGTACCACTCCTCTATAACTGGCCTTGTTAAAATAATCCAAGTGTTTTCGCCAGCATTTGAAGGTATTCAAGGGTTCAGTCTTTGGAGGCTCTTCAGAAATTTTCATCTACTAAGAGTGAAAAACAGCCACAGTGCTCGTGATGCATCCAGGCTCGAAACGACGCCGAAACAAAGAGTTAGGAGAACCCCAATGCCCGCCATGGTGGGAAAGAGCGTGCAAGTTATTTCCAGCAGGATAAATAAAAAATGTCACGGAAGTCAGGCAGATGGAGCAAAGGGTTAGGGAGAGATGACAGAAAAACTCCGGGAAAGCACAAAGGACTTCAGAGAAGCCACGGGAGAGTGGCTGAGAAGACGTGAGGGGCCGGAAATGAAGATCCTGAAGAGGTGGGTCTGACCGCCAAGAGCCCCCATGGCCTGAGGGTCCGATGGACTTCAGGAAAAGGACCTCAGCTGCCCTCAATCTACTTAAAGGCGGATTACCTATTTGTACTTATTATGCAGGTTTAGCTGGAATTGTTCTGACATACCTACGGATTTCATTCTACTGACACACAGAATCTAGCTGAGGGATTTTGTTCACGCATTAGCCATCCTGGTCACATTAAGAAAAAAAAAAGGAATTCTGTAAGTCACCTAATGAGGTTTGCAAAGAACAAGGAAAAACTAGTCACTTAATCAAATCCACACTCGTAGCGTTTCAAAACACTATCAACGTACACAGACAAGCAATTGTAGCTGTTATCTGCAAGTCCTGTAACAGGTGCTTATTAAGTGCCAGGAATTTGGTCCATTATTTCATTCATCACGTCATTCTGACGGCGAGTAAAAGAAACAAGAAGAGCGTTTTAGCTACACGAGCAAGGGGTGACACAAGTGAGTATTTCTTGGGAGAGGACGGCGAGTGTCAAGTCTTATTCGAGGAAGCTGATTTTCTATCCTAACTGTGGGAGAAACAGAGTTCAAACATTATATAAAAAGAGACAGTGGAGAGTGCCCGAAAACAGACGACTGGTTAAAGAAACTGGTACTTTTACACAATGGAGTACTATGTAGCTGTTAGAAAAGGTGAAGTCATGAAATTTACATACAAGTGGTACTACAAGGAAAGTATCATGTTAAGTGAAATGAGTCAGAAAGAACGGGATAGACACAGAAAGACTGCATTCATATGGGGAACATAAAGCAACAAAATGGGAGACTAACACCCAGATTAGTACCAGGAATTTTGCTCCATGACTTGGAGGCCAGCCACACGTGCTAGGGGAAAAGGAAGCTCAGATAGAGAAGAGAGCACCAAATAAAGGGTGTTGTGAGGATCCTCTCAGGGTGGGAGAAGCATGCTGAAAGTAGACTATAGACTGAACATGATTGCCACTCGATGCCTCTCTTGCAAAACACAGGACCCAAAAGAGAGAGAGAACAAGGGGGAATGCCCTGCCACAGAGGCAGGGTGGGATGGGGGGATGGAGGGTGGGAGGGATGCTGGGACCCGTGGTGGTGAAGAATGGGCACTGGTGGAGGGATGGGTACTCGATCATTGTATAACTGAAACCCAAGCACAAAAATTTCTAAGTCTACAACTGTACCTCATGGTGTTTCACTAATAAAAAAAATTAAAAAAAACCAAGCCAAACAAAAAAAGAGACAGTGGGGCCGGAGCCATAGCACAGCGGGTAGGGCATTGGCCACCGACCCGGGATTCGATCCCCGGCATCCCATAGGATCCCTCAAGTGATTCCTGAGTGCAGAGCTAGGAGGAAGCCCTGAGCATTGCTGGGTGTGACACCCTCATCACCCCTGCCAAAACAAACACACAAACAAGAAAACAGTGGGGGAGTAAATAAAAAAGTGTTGATACTGAAATTAAGCTAATGTGCTCTTTTTTTCTTTTCCTTTTTGGGTCACACCCAGCAATGCACAGGGGTTCCTCCTGGCTCTGCACTCAGGAATCACTCCTGGCGGTGCTTGGGGGACCCTATGGGATGTCGGGGATCGAACCTGGGCCAGCCACATGCAAGGCAAATGCCTTACCCACTGTCCTATTGCTCCAGCCTCTCATTTTCTCTGATTAAAAAAAATGCTGGAGTGATAGCACAGCGGGTAGGGCGTTTGCCTTGCACGCAGCCAACATGGCGGACCCGAGTTCGATTCCTCCGCCCCTCTCGGAGAGCCTGGCAAGCTACCGAGAGTATTGAGCCCGACGTGACGTATTCGATATGCCAAACATAGTAACATCAAGTCTTACGATGGAGACGTTACTGGGCCCGCTCGAGCAAAATTGATGAACAACGGGAGGACTGTGACTGTGACAAAAATGTCTTCCTTCTTCTAACACAAATTTTGTTTCTATTTTTGGATTTTGAGTCCCACCCGGCGATGCTCAGGGCTTCCTCCTGGCTCTGCACTCAGCGATCACTTCTGGCAGTGCTTGGGGGACGCTATGGGATGCCGGGGATAGAACCTGGGTCAGCCACATGCAAGGCCTGTCCTTGAACTTCGATAGCATCTCTCAGCCCCCCTCTGAGTTTTCCTAGGTTTCAAATACAAGCCCTACCCTTGGGAGCAGAATTCCTTCAGTGGCACGTGGCCACCATGAGTGCCAGTCATTTCGGTGAAATCTCTAGGAACATACATGAGGGCATTCGGAGACCGTAAGGAGACATTTATTTTATTTTATTTTATTTTTGCTTTTTGGGTCACCCCCAGCCGATGCTCAGGGGTTACTCCTGGCTCTGCACTCAGGAATCTCTCCTGGCAGTGCTCGGGGGATCCTATGGGATGCTGGGAATCAAACCTGGGTCGGCCACGTGCAAGGCAAACGCCCTCCCCGCTGTGCTATTTAAGGAAACATTTACGGGGAATATTTTGTTAACAGTTCTGGTACCTCTCGTGGATCTCTTCAAGCGATGCCTGGGAGGTACTGACCCCAGGTGCTGTGCTTTGGCCTCTTTTTAATTATTCCCCGGATTCGACTTCCCCCATCTCCCATCTGAGTGCT